TGTGTTCTTTGTGTGGCAGTGTATTTCCCTTGCCTAGCACACAGACAGTTGCTAAAATTAAAAAATATATATACTTTTTTCTCATCTGTCCTTACCTACCACTCTGAGATCAGAACTTCACTTTAAAACAGTATGGCAAGCATTCTTCATCGGGGTTTCATGAATGAACTTGGGAAAGGAGGAAGCTGTGGAGCATCTGAAAAGGTGTATGCACATGTTTTTTAAATATGTATTTTTTTAGTTGTAGGTGGACACAATGCCTTTATTTTATTTTTATGCGGTGCTGAGGATCGAACCCAGCGCCTCTTGTGTGCTAGGTGAGTGCACTACCACTGAGCCCCAGCCCCAGCCACAGCCCTGTGTGTACATTCTTCTTAGGGAAAAATCTGGTAGCTTTCATAAGCTTCTCAAAATAACTAAGGCTCAAAATGTCAACAATTGCTTTCACCATATTGCTTTATCTTACTGCAGGGTGGAAACAAAAAGGAATGATAATTTAATTTCACGTTCCTACTAGAGAAGATAGAAACAGAGGTTTCAAGATTTCCCTAAAGTAACAGGGTTTATTCCCAAGATGAAAACTCGGGTCATGTGACTGCCATATTTGTCTGGAAGGTAGACAAGTAGGGAGCTGTCTTTTTTTTTTTCTTTTCTTTAATCAAGTTTATTGAGGTATCTTTTACATTCAGTAAAATGCATCCATTTTAAGTGGGTCATCTGATTGACACATGGTGTCCCCTGGCAGCCACCAATCAATACTAACATTACATCCCCTGAGAAGTTTCAGGAGGCGGTTCTAGGGAACATAATTTCCTTCTAGGGCCACCACCCTTCAATTTTTTCTGTGCACCATGGAGGGCTGTTTTAAGGAGTCTTAGAGATTGAGGGGCTGACCAAGCTGCATAGCTCGACACAGAAAGCTTTCGGTGGCTTTTCCCACTAATCAAAACAGAAGTCTTACATCGAGGTTCTGAAGAATAGATCTAAAAATGATGTACAAACGCTTAAATTACAATAATAGATTGCCTGCAGGATTGGAAATACTCCTTTGAATTTACTTTGTACCTCTATTGTGAGATATCCAAATTTTACCCACACTCCCAAACCTTATGCAAAACAGAGGTCAAGAATAGGAACTTACTCTGTGAGGGAGAAGGGGAACAATAATAGGTCCTTACTATTACCATGAGTCACAGAACAAGGTAAAATTCTAGACCCTTAATTTTCACTAACAGTCTCTTATTTATGAGTAGTTTTGACTGACAAAATTATATTAAGGTAGACCCTTGACTTAGTCACATTAAAAAGTCTATGGAAGTTTTCTTTCTAGTAATGTTAAGGGGGAAAAAAAAAGCATGTAAATTATTCTAAGGGATTATCTTACTATATTAATAAAATAAGACATTGCAAAGGTTCTAAATTCATAATAAAATTTGGAACTGGAAGGAATCTTACAAATCATCCAATTTCTTCATTTTTACTAATAAAAAAAGCCCTGAGATATATATTTCTCTTCAGGTTACAAAACTCACTATTGCTCTAACTGCAACTATAATTTAGGTAGTCTGAATGCCAGTCATTCAAAATAAAGCAAGTGACTTGATAAAATATATTTAAAAACAGATAAAAAGTTAATAGCAACATACACCGATTTTTGTACTTATGAATCAGTTTCATGACACAAATTAATTCACAAATCTATGGCTCTGTCTTTTAAATACTTACCAAGTTCCCTTGGAAGAATTATAAACTTAATAAAAACATCTAGACTTGAAAATCTTTTCAGGGCCATATTTCAAAGAAAGAGACCAGCTATTTGGTGGCAGTCCCTAACCTATCTATAATTTGTCCCAACCTGTCGCTCAGGTACAATGCAGAGTTGGAACCAAGGAGTTACTTTGAGTCATTGCAAAAAGATGTGTGACAAAGCTTCAGGATGTGGGCCTCATCCCCTTCAGGTCAACAAGGTCAGAAAATCAGAAATGCCCGTGTGTCACTGTGAGCCCCTTGCCACCCAGCTGCTTCCATCTGCTTAGCTTCCAGGGCCAGAGGAAGGTTCTAGGCTGCTTGTTCATTTACCGCCCATTCAAGGAGTAAATGGCCCGATTCTCAAGTTTCAATTCTCTAAGGTTATTTCACAGTTGGATTTATTCAACATTTTTATTCATATGGGATAAGATAATCTTTATAACTTTTAAGTCTAGCAATATTTAAGGCTATGTTTGGTATACATTTGACAATGAAAAACTCCAAAGAATAGGGACTATTTTCTTTTTATTGTATTTTTATAATTGATATAAAATTGTGTCTGCATATAGAGATAATCAATGTTCTCAAAGTAAGTTTAAATGTTTATATAAAACAGATTTTACTAGCCAGCAGCCAACAAAAGTCTTCAAGTTGTTGAAGGTAAACTACAATTCAAAGAAATGGTATCATTAAAATACAGTAAATTCTCAGTTATCCAAAGAATCAGAGAAGAGAAGTCTGTTTACTGGGATTGAGTCTGTTTCTACCACACAGATAAGTGTGTCACCAATTTTCTTGGAATTAAATATTTTTAATTTACTTAACATTTAAAGCAAACACTTTAAAAAAGTAATTCTGGAAGTTCTTCAAGATCAATACACATTAACATCAGTACCCTGCAGTTGCTTCCACAAATATTTTTTACGTCCCCATTCTGGGTATTTGTGCAATGCTGATAAGATTTCTGACTGAGATTGCTTTGTTAGTCAGCTTTCCAAAACACATGCAGTGCTCCTCAAAAATATTTAAGAAGTGACCTTGAGGATGATGTAGGAAATTTAAACGTTTTTAAAAGTTTGCGGCTCTTAACCACAAAGCTCCCTGATCCTTTCCCTGCTTTATCGGGTTGAAGAATTTAGTGGATTACATCAAGACGAAGTTATTGTTTTCAAAATCACATGGGATATTTTGAAATTGAAAGTATAAATGGTACAACTTCACATATTTTATCACTAGTTTCAATTTACTACACTGATTAATATTATAAATTTTAAAATAATGGAATAGATACACCAAAGACCTGCGTCTTAGGCTATAGTAGTCTTCCATTTAGAAATGGACAAAATTTTAAAACACTGTCAATTAATACTTCTTCTAACATTGAAAATATTCCTCCAAAACATAAAAGATTAAATGAAAATTAAGAAATTCAATCACTTAGGTTTGGACTGAAATTTTTAGTAGCCATGCTGGTGACTACATACAAATTTATACAAATTTAACCCAAACTTAGAAAGAACAGAAGATACACTGGGGTTACTTCAGGATGCTTTCTCATCTGCATGCTGGAGAATCATAGGCAATCCCTCAACATGAGGAAGAGGGGAAATAACACCACCACTAATGTGAGATGATTGTCTTACCTTTTAATAAAGCAGTTACAATGATGTTTGAAGCAAAAATTTAACTACACATTGTCCTTCCCACAATCATCATGTGGGAAAATTCAATTAAAAACTTGAAATATTTGAGTCCTTAGAAGACATCTTGGCAACCTTTTCCTTTCCTGGCTGCTCCAGACCTGACATATTCCTGGCTTCTTCTTGAATATTAATGTGTGGTTGCTGGCAGCAACCTCATGCTTATATAACCACACCTGGTCTAAGTAGCTTACCAGACCAAGTTGAGTTATAAGTCCCTTGAGGAAAGTGGACGTGCTCTCTGTGCTTGGCTCAGCTCAAAATTACATGTGTGTGGTGTTTCATAAATATTAAATGATGGTGATGATGGGGAGCACCCAGGCCCAATGCCAATCTCTCTCAGTTTCTCTGGGGATTTCTAATAGGCCAGTTACATCATTGCAACAGTTACAACTTTCTTCTGAATGAGTCAAAGGAGGAAAGAAGAATTTATCTTCCGACTCAGGAGGACCCTGCGAAGAAGCCTGGGATAGAGGGAATGCATTAAAAAACAGAGCAGCAGAAGGGATGGGAACCCATTCAATAGCAGCCAGGGGAGCTGAGCACTTGCAAATGCAGCCTGTCTTGCTGAGCAGACTCACCAGGGGATCCTGGATTCTGCATTCTCCACTCTAACAGCCTGTATCAAAGTTATAAAACCAAACTAAGGGTCATGCTCAAGAAAGGCACAACTATCTCACCTCCTGGGTGGCAGTTTCTCAGCATCCTATCTTCCTTCTCCTGGACGTAGGGAACACTGACTTTCCTGTTTGGCCTGTTTTGGCTGAGACAGATTTGAAAACTATTTCAAGGAGACAGAGTACTACAAGTAGCAGTTAGGGCTGTCAATCTTGGCTGCTCCTCAGAATCCCCAGGGGAGCTTTCAGAATATCCATCTGCACGCCCCACCTCTAAAGAGACTACTTTAAGGTATTTGGAGCTGGGCTCAGGCATTAGTATTCCTAAAGACCTCTCTTGGTGAATCTAAACTTCAGTCAGGGCTGAGAACCACAGCAACATTTATTCTCTATATTGCTTCATATTCCATTTAGCTAATTACTATTTGTTTTTCTTTGTTAGTTTTTTCCCCCTGCCTACAGTTTTAAGATAAGCAAAAGAATTTTCCTTGCTCTAAGGTAAGGCAAGACATGACAAGCACTGTGTAAGATCAACCAGGCACGCCTAACTCTGCATGATGTACATTTAAGAGTGATCATTTTGATTCATTAAGGCAACTGAAGACATTTTTGAACTATGGGCATATCCTTTTATTCCTCAATGCCCACGACTTTAAAAAAAAAACACAAATATATTAAAATAACCCTAAATTTCTGTTTCTTTTACTAGAAAAAAGAACTAAAGAATTCTAGAATTTTAGCATCATTTAAAAAAAAAAATCTACCTTTACATAAAATCCCTTAATTTCACACTTCTGAACCTGTTTCTATACAATTAAATAGGGTTCCTGGAAAGTACCTTTTATTTTTGTACATAATGAAAAGACCAGATGTGAATGAGAAAAACAGATTTTAAACTTCTCTCCTTCCATTTTTAAAAGAAAATATACCTCTGGAGTGCTCTGTTAATTTATTTCAGGATTAAAAAGAATTTCATTATTAACAACAGTCACAACAAGGACAAAGTTCCAAATGGTTGGAATTCATTCGCCCAATAAGCAACCACGCCTTAAATTCTACTCCACTAGAACTCCCCCGACTACCTCCCCACTACATACATACATCTCCGTACACCTGCTATCTCCCGGGCTGATATACAAACCACTGAGCAGTTTTCATTAAAAAAAAAAAAAAAAAATCTATTTTAATTAAGGAGCTAAGGGTAGCCCGTTATCAGAAATGTGCAGGGCTCCTAAGAGGGCTCGTCCGGAAGTGACAGCTGTTGGGCTGGGTCACAGCAAGCGTGGACAGAGTGGCAGGACCTTCAGCAGTCCTGTCCTTCAGGGAGCCTCCTGGCTTCTCTGCCCACTTCAGGAATACATGGTCAGCTGCAGCCATTCTTGGATGGACACCTGAATCAGGCCATCTGCATCTCTGTCCAGGGACTTGAAGGCACGGAACATGGCGTCCAGGCGGACCAGGCAGCTGATGAAGTCGTTGAAGTCCATGCCCCCGTCCTCGTCGACGTACCGGCGGACGATCATTTGGTAAAGCTGTTCGTTCAGCTGGAAGCCTGCTGCCTGCAGAGCTTCCCGCAGCTGGGACCTCCCCAGAGACCCGGAACCGTCCCTGACGTACTGCAGGTAGACGCACTGCCACCTCTTGATGTTGTTCCACAGATACTTGAACTCCTCGAAGCCCAGCTTCCCCGTGGTGTCGCTGTCCATGACCGATACGATGCTGCGGCACGTGTCCAGGCTAAATCTGGCGGTCTTCAGATACTTGTGCTTCGCAAGGACTTTGTTGAGAATGTTCATCAGGTCAGTGGCACCCACCTCCATGTCGGGTCCAGCCAGCTGCGCAAACTGGTGCCGAAAACGCCTCACCTCCTCGCTCTCCGAGGCTTCCACGGTGGTGAAGTGCTGCTGGGTGGGCGGCGGCGGCTCCAGGGTATACTGAGCGGCAGCAGCCTCGCTGATCAGGTTCACAATGCCCCCCATGATCCCGCCAATGCTTCCTCCTCCTCCTCTTCTCTGGACACCTCCTCCCATGAGACCTCCAAGAGCTTCTCCAAGACCTCGATCGGCCCCTTCCAATAAGGCCTTTGCAAGAAACATTCTTTCAACAAGCAAAAGTGTAAAAATTTCAGCAGCTTTTATCTCCTATACCTGGGAGACTGTATAGGGAGAGCGGGGGTGGAGCGCAGGTAGCTCAGGTGTGGGAGAACTGGCTTTTCAGACCTGCTCCACAGCACCACGCCTCCCCAAGGGAAGTCTCGTCTCCACCTGAAGTTGCCTGATGCCACCAGGTCCTAGCACCTGCCATACTTTTAGAGGGCCTCAATAAAATTGTTTTTGATTCTTCCAGATAAATATTGATACATTATTCTATCGCCACACATGAGAATATTTTACATAGAAAATGTAAAACTATACATTTCTACCTGCCATTGCTTTCTTAGTTCTTTTTCTCAGCACCTGAAAGGCGGTATGCATTTTCCCAGGAGGAGAAGGTAAATGATTCAAAGAAATCATCAATTTCTTTTTCTAAGGGATATTTGTTATAAGGGGAGTGTCAAAGAATTATTGAGCATCGGAAAGATACTTACAATACCCTGACTAGAGCAGAGATTTTCAAAGTCCAATGTTCTTAAGAAAAACCTGGAAGAGGGTTTTTAAAATGCCAGGTGCCCAGGTCCCACCCTCAGACATTCTGATTCTGGAGCCCTGCTTGGGCGGGATCCATGATTATTTTGGGATTTTTTTAAAAGTATATCATTTATACAGAAAAACATACAAACTGTAACTGTACGGCTCAAAGAGTTCCATTGATGGTACATATCTGTGTCCCAGCACCCAGATCCACAAACGAACCTCACCAGCACCCCAGAAAAAGCTTCTTTCTTCAAAACTTCTTTCTTATTCACCTCTGCCAAGGTAACTGATATCCTGACATCTAGCACCATAAATTAATTTTTGCATCTTAATGAAATAATATAGTATATACTTTTCATCTTCAATTCACTCCTCCTCTCATCCTAATTCTACCTCCTGTCTCTATGAATTTGACTACTCTATATGGCTTATAAATGTGGAAGTATGTAGCATTTGTGTCCTCTTTGTGACAGGTTTACTCCACTTAATGTCTCTGATGTTCACCCATGTTGTAGTATGTCTCAGGATGTCATTCCTTCCTGGGGATGAACGATATCCCATTGTGTAAACATGCCAAGCTCTGTCTTTCCATTCATCCGCTGGTGGACACGTGGGCTGCTTCCCTCTTTTGGCTATGGTGAAGAATGCAACTAAGAACATGGGTGTACAAACACCTGTTTAAGTACCCAATGTCAATTCTTTTGGGTATGTGCCTAGAAGTGGAGTTGCTAGAGGATATGATAATTCTATTTTTATCATTCTGGGGAACTCCCATACTACTTCCCACATTGGCTGCAACATTCTATCTCCCCCCAGAAGCTTGATGTTGAACATCTTTTCTCCTGCTTACTGGACATTCGTTTAATCTTCTTTGGAGAAATGTCTATTCAAATCCTTCGAACATTTTTAAATTTTTTCTTTAAATTATTATTATTGTTGAATTGTAAAAATTCTTTTAATATTGTGGGTACTGATTTCTGATCAAATATATGATTTATAAATATTTTCTCCCATTCTGTGGGTTACCTTTCTGCTCTGTTGTTCTTAGATGCATAAAAGTTTTAAATTTTGATGTGGCCTTTTGTTGTCTGTGCTGTTGTTGGTAATATATCCAAAAATCATTGAGAAATCCAGGGTCATGAAACTTTTACCATCTGTTTTCATCTAAGAGATTTATGGTGTCAGTTCTTTTGATTTATTTTGGGTTAATCTGTTTAACAGTGTGTTTTAGTCAGTTTGGTTTTTGTTGTTGTTGTTGCTGCTGTGACCAAAAGACCTCACAAAAACAATGTAGAGGAGGAAAAGTTGACTTTGGCTCACAGTTTCTGAGGTCTCAGTCCTTAAATAGCTGACTCCATTGCTCTGGGTCCCAGGTGAAGCAAAACATCAGGTAGAGGGCATGGAGGAGAAGAGCAATTCTAGACATGGCAACCAGGAAGCAGAGGGAGAGCTCTGCTCATCAGGGACAAGATAAAGCCCTAAGGGCACTTCCCCAGTGATAGACTTCTCCAACCACGCCCCACCTGCCTGCATTACTGACCACTAATTACTATCATTGGATTAATATACTGATCAGATTAAGGCTCTCACAACCCAATCATTTCACCTCTAAACTTTCTTGCATTTTCTCACACATGAGTTTTTTGGGGATGCCTCATATCTAAACCATAACGTGGTATAACGTAACTTCATTATTTTGCACATGGATACAGTTGTTGAAGCTCCATTTGTTGAAGACTGTCCTTTCCGCATTGAACAGTTTTTGTACCCTTGTTGAAAATCACTCTATCATATATACAAGGGTTTATTTCTGGGATCTCTATTCTATGTTATTGGTTTATGTGTCTCTCCTTATGCTTGGACTATTTTGATTACTATAGATTTGTAGTGATATAGTTTTGATACCAGGAAATCTGAGACCTCCAACCTTGTTCTTCTTTTCAAGATTGTTTTGGTTATTTCTAGATAACTTGAGCTGTAATACGTATTTTATAATTGGTTTTTCTATTTATTTTTCTTGAAGCGCTTCTTCTCCTGTTTCTCCAGTTTCCTGCCTGAACCACTGTTTTCTTTATGACGTCCAGATTCTTCCGTGGAACCTCTCCAGTCTCACAGAAGGACAGCGCTGCTCCTCCACTTGTCCTTGAAGCTTCTCCCCCAATACACTCATGGGAACATCAGAGAAACAATCCATCTGTGAGGTGATACTGCATTTGTTTTCCAGGTACCAGGAGATACTGCCTTTGTTCTTGGCAGCTGCTGGGCCAATGAAGGTGGAGTGGAAAAGGAGTCCCTATTTTGGTGTGTTACCCCTGGTCTTCAGGGCTCTGGAAATTGGTCCCTTTGCTGGGCCCTGGGAATCACTCAGACACCAGGACTGTGGTTTTTCAATTTCTGTAAAAAAAATCATTGCTGGAATTTTGTTTGGGTAATACTGGCATCTTAAAATATTAAGTCTTCTAATTCATGAACATGAAACGTCTTCCTATTTATTTGTCTTTAATTTCTTTTAGCAATGCTTTGTAGCTTTCAGTATACAGGTCTTTTAACTTCTTAGGTTTATTCCTAAATATTTTATTCTTTTTGATGTTACAATAATGAAATTGTTTTCTTAATTTCCTTCTCATATTGTTCATTGTTAGTGTATAGAAATGCAACTGCTTTTATGTAGTGATTTTATATCCTGCAACTTTGCTAAATTCATTTCTCAGCTCTAACTTTTGTGTGGAATCTATAAGGCTTCTACAAATACAATCATGCCACCTGTGAACATGGATAATTTTGCTTCCTCCTTTCTAATTCACATGGCTTTTATTCCTTTTCCTTGTCTAATTGTGCTGGCTATGATTTCTACACTATGTTAAGTAGAAAAGGAGAAAGTGGATATAGTAGTCTTGTTCCTTGTCTCAGAGGAAATACTTTTGATCTTTCTCCGCTGAGTCTGACATTGTCTGTGGGCTTTTCATAAATGGCATTTATTATGTTGAGGAACATTTTTTTCTATTCCTAGTGTGTTGAGTGTTTTTATACTGAAAGGTATGGGATCCTGTCAAATGCGTTTTCTGCATCAGTGAGAAGATAACGTAACAATGTGATTTTCCCCACTTCCTTCTCATAATGTTACGTATTACATGGGTTGATCTTTACATACTGAACCATTCTTGCATTCTAAGAGTAAATCCTACTTAATCATGGCGTACAATTCTTTTAATAGGTTACTGATTCTGTCTGCCAGTATTTTGTTGAGGATTTTTATATCAATAGTCATATGGAACACTGGTCTATAGTTTTCTTTTCTTGTAGTATCTTTCTAGACTATGTTATCAGGGTAATGCTGGCCTCACAGAATGCGTGAAAGGATCTGGCCCCTAGCTTTTCTTTTGGGGGAAGTTTTTGACTACTGATTCAGTATCCTTTCTAGTTTTACAGGTCTTTTCAGATTTTTTTTTTTTTCCTTCAGGATTCGGCCTTACTAGATTGTGTATTTCTAGGAATTTGTCAGTCTCATCTAAGTTATCCAATTTGGTAGCATACAGTTGTTCACAGCACTTGTTTATAATCCTTTTTATTTCTATAAAAATTGATAGTTATGTTTCCTCTTCTATTTCTAATTTTTTGGCTTGCTTCCATACTTGGATGCTTTCTTCAACATTACATTTGTGAGATTTGACTTTCTATTTTTAATAAGCATCTTCAGAAGTCAGAAGTCAGACTGTAACAGGAAATCCCATGCATACTTTGAGAAACCCTACCTTTGATATTAGGTAGAGTCAGAGTTCTAGTCTTCCAAGTATTCAAAAATTGTATTCGTGAAATCACAGACTTACAGACTAAACTATTATAGCACTTTGGGTCTTGTTCAAGTCTGCAAAATGATGATAATAGCATCTCCCCTGCTTACTTCAAAGTAATTCAAATGAGACTTTTACATATCTATGAATATGCCACAGTGAAACCCCAACATTCTCTGTAAGTACTATACACCAATAAAAAAAACTTTTAAATAAAAAAAATTCAATCTGATTTATTATATCAGGTCTTAGACGCAGTGCTTAGGATACAAATGCAAATACAACAGCATTGCTGTGCTCAAGGACCACGTAGATCCACAGGGACTAGTTGTAGTTATAAGCTGATGACCATGTTCACATTTCTACTATTAATACTAATCTCCTACATTTGTATAAAATATGTTTTGGTATCTAGGTTTCATAAAATTCCTCTTAAAATCATAAAAGTATTCCAGATGAGAAAAAAAGAAAACAGAAAAGTTAAGCAAGTATACATTTTCAAGATCATTCATCTAATGCATTGTAAATTAATTTTTAAGCCATAAAGTGCTAGAACTGAGTAATGATGAGTCCTGCTATTATTTGGGAAAGAATAGTAGCTAGGGGACATTGCTATCTTTAGGACATGGGAGAATATCATGCCTCCTTCTGGTATAGCCCGTGGTTTAAATAAAACTGTCCAATGACTAGTTTTATTTTTCATGGGTACAATGAAATGATCTCTGAACACCAACAGACAAATGTCTTCCTTAACCACAAAGAAAAGTACCACAAAAAGACTGCCTGGCTTTTAGGATTCACAGAGGCCATCTGGCCTTGGATGGATTTAAATGCATGCACAGAAGCTTCTCTCAGAGGAAACTGAATGGGCTTTGTTTTGTAATATTGCAAATTAACTTGATAGCATCCACTATCATACAATGTGCTTCCTTATGCCCACCTGAAGTGGTTTTTTTTGCTACAATTTAAATTCAGTCCCTCTTATTTATTTTCTGTGAAGAAGGAGGACATTTGGTTAATAATTTCTCATAAGCCATCAGAGAACAAAAGACAGGTATTAGATTAACAAGCTTTTTCTTCTCTGGACTATCTAATCCCCTAAGGCTATTTATTAGAACATTAATAACAACCAGAGTTCCATCTTGGAGGGAACTCTATAGAGCATCCTTGGAGAAAAAGGGTACAAGAAGAGGCCACACCTAATGGAGAATTTCACGCAAATTTGTGAAGGAAGACGTGAATGTTATCAACGACATTATTCACAGTAGCCCAAAGTGGAGACAACCTGAGTGTCTACCAACTGGCGAATGGATAAACAAAACAGAACACATCCATATCAAGGGATACTATTCAGCAATAAATTAGAATGAATTCTTGATACATATTACATAGATGAACTTCAAACATTATGCTAAGTGAAAGAAGCAGGGGCTATAGCTCAGTGGTAGAGCTTACCTAGCATGTACAAAGCCCTGGTTCAATTCTCAGTACCATAAAAGAGAAAAATAAATAAATAGATGGAAAAAAAACAAACACAAGACACCATATATTGTAAGATCTCATTTACATGAAATAGCCAGAAAAGAAAGGCAAGATTATAGAAAGATAGATTATAGAAATTAATAAAAAGTAGATTGATGGTTGCCTAGGGCTGGGAGATAAGTAGTTGACAGGAAGTTACAGTTAATGCCACAAGGAGTAATACTGAGTTGATGAAAATGTTCTAACACTGATCGTTGGTGATAGCTACACAACCTGGTAAATGCATTTTTAAAAAAATCATTGCATTTGGGCTGGAGATGTGGCTCAAGTGGTAGCGCGCTTGCCTGGCATGCGTGCAGCCCAGGTTCGATCCTCAGTACCACATACAAACAAAGATGTTATGTCCGCCAAAAACTAAAAAATAAATATTAAAAAATTCTCTCTCTCTCTCTCTTTAAAAAAAAATTTTTAAAAAATCATTGCATTATATATACTTGAAGTAAGGAAATTCTATGGTATGTAAAATATTCTTTGAGGAAGTTTTGTTTTTAAGTCAATGCTAACAGCATACACCCCCCTTCCTGGGCTAGCAACCCTTCTGCAAATGAAGAGGATGAACAATGTGCTCCCAAGGCTCCTCTAGCTCTCCAGTTCTACGAGTCTAGATTTCCAGTGACAGCAGCGGCCTTCTCTTACATTCAGTTAAGGGTCCTTTTGGTCCCTGAGCCTTTCCATGCTACATATCAACTTAATCATTCTGTATCTTGAGTCTGGTTCCATTAATTTGAAGACAAGCGTATTTACCCTTATTCCCACTTTGACACACTGACTGTTTCCAAAGAATTCCTGATCTCAACCCATCAAGTAGGTGGCTCCTTCAAACAATTCCAAGAAAGGAGAAAAGAACCTGGTTTAGACTAACGTAAGGACCTACGACTCTGAGTTTGGGTCAAACCTCTCCATCAAGTGGGAATTTCACCTCACTGCAATGTGATCAAGACCAGACTCTCCTAATTTGTTGATAAGAATGTCACATTGGATGAAATCAAAAGCCTTTCTAGAATCCACATAGATAATATCTATTTTTCCCTTATCATTTTGGACTGTCACTTTGTCATCAGAGGAAATTAGATGGGTCTGACGCAATCCATTCTTTACAGAGCTCTGTTCTCTACTTCCTTAAGGTCTTGAAGGAGGCCAATCATTGATCATCTGCTTTAGTTCAAAAGTCAAGATTGAGTTTTATGCAGACTCCTTCACTTCCTCTGTTCATCTCCCTGCTATACAGGCATTGAAAAGACAAAAGTAAAGTACATGATTCTCAGGTCTAAACAGATATTTCTAGTACAACAGCCCTCAGACAGAGAAAATAGAGTGATGGGCTGATGGGAGTCAAGTCAACCTGAGAACTGAAGAGGAAAGGGCTCAGATATATAGAATGACTTGGCTTTCAGGATGACTGAATAGAAAAGTTCATCTGTTCCACCCAGAAAATCATAGCCTTTACTAAAAAATTATATAATATGAATTAGAGTGGGTTTCACATTGCAAGTCCCGGCAAACTGAGATTGGAATCAAGATGCGTTCTCATGTGAACTATTTAATACTGTATTACTTATCAAATCTGAACTGCAAATTTAAATGATAGAAATTTTACAGTTTATTTTCAATCACTAAAGCCACCTAGGTATCCTGCCCCAACTTTCAGCATGAGAAAAAAACCTGTAGGAGACAACACCCCCCCTCCCGAACAGGAAGGGGCAGAGGGGACGCCTGTTATTACTGGCACTCCAGACTGACACTTGAACTGAAACCAAGAACAGGACAGGCAGGAAGAACTTGGGATAAAGAAACATTCATTCCACATAATGAAACAGTAACAAAAGATTTACAGAAGTTTACAATAGCCCCAAAGCCTGGGTTGCCAAAGTGCTAAAGTAGACACAAACTTTTCCTGTCTAATATTTAAGCAAAGCACACTGCAATGCCAGAAGCAGCGAGCGAGTACTAGCTAGCAGAAACAAGAAACCTCATGGCACTAGTCCAACAGTTTTTATAGAATGGCAATAATAACCGTCTAAATTTTACTAGGCAACGTTCTATTATGTCCTAAGAGGACTGGAAAAACAAGGTAGACTCAGACTACAGCTAAGGAACTGAAAATCCATCTTCCTCCTTCTTTTCCTCTCATGTGTGAAGATGAAGGATATACTACTAGTTAGAGTTGTGGGAGGATATTAACAAGAGGAACACAGATTAGTCCAGATTAAGATTCCCAGTGATCTGCTTTCAATCCCATGTGAAGATCCCACAGGTTAACAGTGGTCACTGTAAGAACAGACAGGCATCCTTCAATCCATTCCTTAAACCTGCCAGCATGCTTTGTTTGCATCGGCTTAGGCGATACACCAGGATCAGCAAATTACAGCTGTTGGCTAGATCCAGACTGGTGCCATTTTTGGAGATAAAGTTTTATTGGGGTGCAGTTATGCCCATTTGTCTGTGCACTGTTTATGGCTGCCTTCATACCTCAGTGGCAGAGATGAATATTTGCAACAGAGACCTTATGGCCTGCAGAGTCAAAAATATTTTGCTTCCAAAATACTTAACTGACTCTGGAATATAGCTTGAAATATAGGTTGTGAGCAGGGAGCATGCACGCTGTTGTGGCATGGTGTCAGGTGGAACATCAAGCTGGACACGTCCTGAGATGGAGGGTGGAAGGCGTGCTAGTAGCAAGAAGACAGCATGGTGTGTTGGCAAACTCACAACAACAATTACGTTCTTACTGAAATATTTGAGGGCTATCTCATAGTACACGAGATACTGCTATGAGGGCAGCATACGGGTCTACTCAACTGCACAGTTTAAGAAGAACAAAATGAATGACACAGACACTTTTACAACTGTAAAAATGACTGCTTTGTAATTGCTTCTCATTTAGACTCTATTATTTCTTAATCTCATTAAATGCTTTTAAATCCCGTCAAGTGTGCTAGCAAAATATGTGGTACTTAATTTGAATTAGGAATATGAAGACACTGAGAGAAGGTCGTGATTTTAAACCACTTTTCCAGGCTTCAACTCTGGCGAATCCCTAATTAGCCTCTGATCTGGAGTATTCAATACATATTCATGAAGATAAAGATGCTAACTTGAACCCAAAGATAAAAAGATTTGTTTTTTGTTTTGTTTTGTTTTCCAAAGAGATTGAATCTTTCTAAAGAAATTGTTCCAAACTAGTAAACTCTGCTCTGCTTTGGATCATGAATGCCATATTTTTGTTGGACCTTCAAACGGTCTGTCACCAAATATTTGAGATTCTAAAGAACATGCTAGAAGGATCTAATAACATATTTTTAAGGACAAACTAAGGCAGAAACGGTTATGAAGTTTTTGTAGACTAGCCAAGAACACACTGAGAAGAATGAAGGAATGATGGAGAGAGAACCAGATCCCTTCTCCATCCCCCAAATCTGAACCACACCTGTAACAGACTTGGAAAAGACTGAGAAAGGAAAATAAAGGGGTGGGGGAGTGGAGAGGAAGGCGATAAAATGGGAAGGGGGTGAGGGAGGGGCTTTGGGAGTTTGGCACTGCAAGAAGTTACAGCTGCTGGAGAGCAACAGGAACTCAGCCCTGTCTCTCCCCAACCCCAGCCCTGGTAAGCACTGAATGCAGCCAGATAGGCTACTCCTACAGAAACCACCACGGAGCGCCCGAGCCTCCTTGCTCTTCCCATCGAATGTTCCTCAGCGAGGTCCCTTTAACAGACTGAACAAAGGAGACCGGCTTGGAAGCAGATATGTGGCCAAGGCGTGGCAACGATGCATAGCTCAGCTTCTCAAAACAGAGAGAACCTCACAGGCACAGACATGCAGGTGTGCTAAACAGGGGGAGCAGGAGGGAGAAACAAGAGCCTGAGTCATTATTCTCCCTGATCTTCCAGTAGGTTGAAGAGCCACAAGAAAAGCATTTTCTAGACCAGCTTAAGGTTCATCTCTGGGGCTATATCACATCATTTAAAGAAGTGAAGAAAACTCAGTTATAAATGGTATCAGAGCCTATGGAAGCAGCCACGGAGAAGCACGACTGACCAGTGGGCTACACTGCTCAAGGGTCTCCAAGCGCCTGGGTCAGCTGACTGCTCCAGTTCAAAGTGAGCCAATGTTTTAATGCTCGCTTTGTGCCCCGTCCCCACTCCCAGATCTTCCTAAAATTAACAGTGCCATAGAAACAGTGGGCTGTTGGTGGGTTATCACTCATCATCAGAAGTCAGAACTAGTGTCCTAACAATTCTGTGACTGCAAACTATGACAGTTTGACACCTCGAGGACAGGGCAACCTCTACAGATACTGTGTTTAATGTTGATTTTAAATCCCAGTGAGCACAATGTCTAAGATGTGCTATAAACTCCTCCTCTGTCCCTGTTTCGGTCCCTCTCATTTCCCCCCATCCAGTCCTTGTTTGTATGTCCCTGCCATATTCCTTCCTGACACCAAATTCATACAGAGAAATGCCATTTCAAATTGCATAGTGTCTACAGCCATCATGGTAGCTGCCACATAAATCTTGTAAAAAGACAATTAATATACAAGGAAAAAGGTATCTCCAATTTCCCAGTTTACAAAGTTAAATCCAATGACATCCTTCTCCTTTCCCCTAAATCTTCATTACACTTTATAGTCACACTGTAGCATTGAAACATGGTCATTTCATGAGGGAGAACAAATTATTTGTATGCTGTGAGCAAGCAATGAATGAGGCCCAGGTCCTACATATAGAAGGAGGTTGCTGAAGAGTACCACGGTAAAGAATCATTCATCTGTGAGATCACAGAATAAGTCATTAGGCACACTGGTGTACTCTAGGAAAGAAGAAAAAAAACAAAAAGTCAAAGAAACAAAAATACCCTGTCCTATCTGTCATCAAGTTATAATTTCTTTGCAAAGTACCTTTTTCTGGTAGTTAATACAGGGACTTCCAGTACCAGCCAAAATGGAATAAACCCAGTTTAGCCTCTCTCTCCCAATTACAACGAGAATCACTGAACAAAAGTACAAAAAGTAACTACCTCTGCCCAAACCACCCCAGCAGCAGGACTGGTGAGGAAATTCAAAACTTGGAGAATAATCAGTAAGGATGTGAAACCATGGAGATCAAAGACAGGAGGATGACTTTAAATTGTTAGAAGAACAGTCAAGTTGGAATTCTACCTACAACACAAATGTCCCTTAGGAACAATTGCAAAACAGTCATATACTGAGAAGGAAAAATAAAGAGCTCATACTCCTAGATATTCACCCAAATGAAATTAAATTAAAATCAACATTTATATAAAAACCTATACACGAACATTTAGATTATATCTGTATTCATCATTATCCATGACTAGACACAAAGCAAATGTTCTGCAACAGAGGAACAGATAAACTATGGTACATCCATACAATGGAATATTACTCAGTAATAAAAGGGGAGAAATTATTGAGACATACAACACTCTGGCTAAATCTTAAATGCATTATGCTAAGTGAAAGGAGACAGACTCAAAAACCATAATAGTGTATGATTCCATTTATAGGGCATCTGGAAAATGTAAAACTACAGGGACGAGAGCTAATTAGTGATCACCAAGCATTACAGGTAGGGCCAAAGCTTGTCTACAAATGAGTAGATAACTACAATGGGATTATTATTTTTTTTGGGGGGGGCGGGGTATAACTGTTATGTATTTTAAACATAATGGTAGTTACCTGCCTCTATGCATTTGTTAGAACTCAGAGAATTATAACCCAAAGAGTGCATTTTACTACTGATTTTATATGCTAGAAAACAATTAAAAAGCAGAGAGTTTAAAATCTTGATATATTTTCTAGGAAATTTTTTGACAATTCAATTGCATGTACTAATTACATGTACTTAAAATTAACAAGCAGCCAAGAGTTTAACTGAAACCTTTGTTACAAAATTGAAACCTTTGTTACAAAGCATCTTCCAAAAATAAAATCTATTTGATCTTCACATACTTTTGGATAAATCCAGAAACTCTCAGGACAGAACATTATCACATGAGATTGATATGTAAATTTAGATATAAACTTTAAAATTCTTGACAATTATATAAACTTTTTCATTTCCATATTACAAATGTGGCTATATGGTCACAATATTTATTTATCACCTGGTATTTAAAATAAATAGACAATATCATAAATGTTGCACACATACATTATTATTATTATTGTTGCTAGGAAAAATTAAATCATGTAATTAAACCACAAGCTCAGCCTTGATTCTTTTTTTTTTTTTTTTTTCTTTTTTGGTATTGGGGATTGAACTCAGGGGCACAACCACTGAGCCACATCCCCAGCCCTATTTTGTATTGTATTTAGAGACAGGGTCTCACTTGAGTTGCTTAATGCCTTGCTTTTGCTGAGGCTGGCTTTGAACTCTCCTTCCTCCTGCCTCAGGCTCCAGAGCTACTGGGATTACAGGCACATGCCACCACGGCTGGTGTTCAGCTTTGATTCTTCTAACACTGGTCTAAAGTACTCTGAATACCCACCATATTCCTCATGCTCTGTAAAAACTGGTAGAATAAAATAAGATTGAATTTTAACATACCCTGTCAAAGAGAGCAAAAAGTTGTCTCAAGACATCGGAAACAGGTAATTTTAAATACTCAGCAAATTCTTCAATTCCAATTCTTCCACCTTTTGAGGAACGTGCAATAGACGCATATTCATCCAAATGCTTACGGATGCCATCCCAATCCAATCTAAACAAAAAATATAAATGTTACTAGTTCTTTTCAGTTGACATGGACATTTTATAGACAGTTCTAGTCATTTGACTGAGGGAAAAATATTTTATGTATTAAATATGAATCTGATACATTTTTTCAAAGGAAATCAAATGGGAGAATCAAATGGGTATTTAACAGTATGTGTTGAAAAGAAATAAAACAGTGTGTTGGAGATTAAGAAAAATTAAAAAATACAAATACATGTTGTACATTAGGCAAGCATTTAGTTTTTAAAAGCATATCTGTATAACTCAAAATACACTAAATATCTGACAGAGGAAAAAGTAAATAAGACAAACAATGGGGTGGAATAATAAATGACTTATGAGAAGAAAATCAAAAAGCAAATTTTAACCTCAACATTATTAGCACGTCAATAGTATTTACTGAGTTTTTACAAAAGGTTATAATTCTTGTTTCAAGGAAATTCCAGGATGATAATGAAATTGTATTTCAGAAAATGTTGTGAGAAGGAGATTTGGTAGACTAGAACTTCCTCAAACGTGAGAAATTCTCAGGGTGATAAAAATACTGGAAAATATACAGAAGCTTACCTCACATCCTGCCTTTGCCTTGTAGAACTAAACAAGTAGCCTAATGCATATTTACAAATCCAATTTCAGTGACTGGCTACATTTATCAAATCGAGGGAACATTGTGAACATAATAACAAAACATTTTGTTATCTAGAAGGTATTTTTCTATATCTATATACATTTTCCATATCACTTGTTTAAATGTTTTATTTTAATATTGAGCTTTGATATAGTAACAAGTTCTGCAGCTCCTTCCTAGGGAGGATGCCAAGGTCTATTAAATCAAAGTTGTACAAATTCCTAACAGGGTTGAGAACAGGATGAATTGAACATGAGAGGGTTTGAGGGTTACACCTTTCATACCAGATAGCTCCAAGGGAAGGTTCTAAATGGTTTAAATTAGATCACAAAAATACAAATTTTTTAAAGGTGGCTTTTAAAAAAGTAATAATAACAAAGACCCAGAAGAGAAGAAAAAAGTTGACCTAGGCAAGTACTGAATGTTCAATGATGGTCAGAATATCCATTACACAGGTCAATTTATGTTCCCCATGGGAAGTACTACCTTATGCCAGTACCACCTAATGATGCTGTCCTCCCTGTAAGCAGAGGGCAAGACTGAGCAACTGTTCTGAGCTATTTGAGTAGAGAGGCAATTTGTCTGGATTCATGCTTACTATCTTTTGGTTTCTTCCCGGGACTGGTGAACAGATCTCGGGAAGGTTTTTTTTTTTTTTTTTTTCTTTTCTTTTTTTTTTTGCATTTGGATCCAGGGCTTCATATACGCTAGGCCAACCCTCCACCACTGAGCTGCATTCCCAGTCCTTTTTAAATATTATTTTGAGGCAGGGTCTCACTTACATTGGCAAGGCTGGTCTCAAACTTATGATCTTCCTGCCTTTGCATCCCAAGTAGCTGGGATTACAGGTGAAGCTAACTATTCTTGAAAAAACAAAACCAGATGAACAAAATAGTCAGTAAATTTACGACCCTGGCTTTCCTGACAAACATCTGGTCCTAGAACTGAGCATCAATAAAGGAAAAGAAAATAAGCACACAGGATTTCAAATTCCTTTTGGACACCTTTATGAAAGTACAATAATTTTAAAATGTACTTACTTTAATTTCTGGCTAATTTTAGTAAATTCCACCAACCCGGCTTCCATGGGCAATGTTAGCTGTCCTGCTGAAATCATCAATCTGCAGTCTTCATAGGTATGATCTGTCACGGGTATCCCCAGAGCTCTAGAAGCATCAAGAATAAAACTGAAATTCAATTTTTTTTTTAAATAGGAATGATTTTTCATCAGCTCTGAACTGTTCAACAAATAATAGCAAAAGGAAAAGTATTTACTACTTTTTAGGCCAGTAGCTGTGGCTTTCTTTGCCAAAGAGACATATTTTTCTACTTCTTCAAAGACTTAACTGGGGCCCCTAAAATGTTAGGTCTGCATGCTTCTGTCCATATAGCTGATAATTTCTGTTTTGTTGACTTGAGTTTCACGGAAAGCAATCAGAAGACTTACGTCCAAGTTTTTCGGGAATCCTTTACTAACTGTGAACTTTCTGACAATTAACCCAAGCTTCATTTTTCTTGGCTGCACATAGGAACAATTACTGTCCAGGTTTAAGGACAAAATAAGAATGCTAGTAGAGACACTGCTGGAACAGATAACGGCATCTGTGTGCACTGGACATGGACCGTCCATCTAAACCCTTAGCATCTGTGCTTCTTCATCCTTCATAACTAGAGGTCACCTTCTTCCTGAAAGCAATCTTCTAAATTACTGAAGCAAATTGATACTAAGCTGGTATTTCTTGCAGACGTCCTCCCTTTCCTCAAAGGAAACCAGAACTCCTCTCTACCTCACCGCTGCTCAATGAGACTGAGGCTGACGGCAGTGAGGTGGATCAGAAAAGATGCGTATTAGTGAGAACTGCAAAGCACACCGAGTACAAGAAGAAAGGCTGTCCACACATGGTAATCATTTCCTGAAGCTTCTTCTTCACTAAAATTTTATCTGCAAATATTTAATGAAAATCATAGGATTATGTCTTCAATTTTACTTGACTTTGTTGAATCACTGCTAGGAAGACTGACTGACTGAATGAGTGCAATTAGAATAAAGCAGTTTTTCCCTATACATAGATACATAGTTTTTCTGGGCTGTTTTTGATTAACACATATTTTGGTGTAAGAATACTTAAAAGGGAAAATTAAAATGTTAAATATTTCAGGAATTATAATAATAAACAGTACAGCATAATAAAGAAAAGGTGGGGTTTGGGGAACAGGCATGTGGATGTGAGTTCCAGCCCAGGCACTACCTATGATTTGGGGTGACTGTTCCCAGAGTTCACGTCCTCTCTCCCTCACGGGTGGCTGAGAGGTGACGTCAGGCAAGCGAAGGTTCCAGCACACTGCTTGGTGACCGTCTGCCACCACCACTGCAGCCCCCCCCCCCCACCTCACCTGCTTTGCTCCTTTCCACTTCCAGATGCTCTTATCTCCTCCTTTCCTGCCCAGTCTCACAGCAAACAAAGCCAGGAGACGGGCACTTCCCACAAGGGGAAGGAACTTTGGGGAGGACTTTGTGCAGCCGATCGAGGTTTTTCTTACTCTTTAAATAAGGCCATTATACCCTGCCTCCTCACAAATTAAGAAAAAGCTGCCTAAACAAATCCCCTCTCTACTTTGGGGCACATTTTGGGGAAGCCAAAATATCTGGTATAAATTATCTAAGTTCTCTGTACTTGTTTTGTAACTTTTGGACAGAAACTGGTATGAAAACATCAGAAACAAAATACAGAAAAGCAAATTTCGTAGCTGGTTTAGAAATTAGATAAAATATAAACATAGATAAAATATATAATATATATCTCTCAATCAGAATAATCAGGCTATAAGGCCAATTTCAGCTATATTCAGAGTTCCTGTTGAATTCTTACTAAAGAGAAAAAAATACTGCAGGTCTGTTAGCTCCAAACCTCCTACTAGTGACTGAGGGAGGTGGTGCCTGGGTGGGGGTGCACATCTGGAGGGCCAAGGCTGCCTGGATGGTATAGCAAAACGCATGCTTTCATTACAAGACGGGGTGATTTATCTAATTAGAATACCAGCCAGCTAAAACACTCTTAAGTGCAGGAAAATATATGCCTATGCTTTGCAGTTTCTAAATCCTAAATTTATAGCCATTCCTTCACAAGAGTAACCTTTTTCCTTTTCTGTGCATCTTTTCAAACCTTTGCAAACTTCCCCTTTGTGGTGCTCACAGCCCTGATGACTCTGAAACCCTCAGGCGTGGGCAGCTGCAGGGGAGCTGAGGGGAGGGGTGGGATGCTCAGCAGGAGCTGCCTGCAATGACGGGCCAGCTGGGGAGAATCCACCTGTGGACAGTGCCGATTGGTCTCCTCTGGCTGTGCTATCCTGGTCTTTCAGGTAAAGACTCACTTCCATTAGTTTGAGGCTGAAGCTGGGGAAAATATACACATCCCTGGGCACGTTATTTTGCTTATGTACCAAAGTAAGTTGGAGACTGTGGCCCTCAGTGGGGCTGGGGGAGGAATTTGAAAGCTATGTTAAATGACATTTGCCAATGATTTTCAAATTATTTACTGTTTGAAATCTTATACAGTAACTTACTCTGCCATTAAATTGCGGACTCTATTGGCAAAAAGGACAGGATCGTTTTTTTCTGCATCACTTGGTACTTGAACAGGCATAAACTGAAAGACAAATACAACTTTCCATAAAAATCCTTAGGCCTAAGACATTCAAATGATAAGTAAATTAATTTATAAACATCAATGAGTAAGTCAACCAATAACAGCTGCCATCCATTAAGCACCTACTATGTGCTGGGTACTTTACATTAGGGGCTTTATATGATTAGCTCTCTCACCAATTCCCTGGGGCCAGCCATACCATTTTCATTTGATGATGAATAATGGGACTTGAAGGGGTTAAGTAATATAGCCATGGCCGCAAACAAATGGCAGGGCCATGGTGTGAAAAAAAGAGAAAGTTCTGTATAAGGAGATGCCACTTCTTCCAGATTGTCCTGTTCTCAAATCTCGTTAATCATGTTGATGATCATGGGCACTGGTGACTCAGAGATGCTTAAGCAAGACAAGACCCAGTCCCTAGTTTTGAGCAGTGACTTCAGCGGTATAGAGAGGAGGCACCCAAGAAGAAGAGGAGGAGAGCAGGGGAAGGCTGGAGGCCCCCACAGTGATCCACGCAAGGCCTGCACCCTAGAATGCAGGAAGCAGAGCACAGGTGTGTGCAAGGCACCTTTAAGAAAAACCGTCGAGGACTTACAGAAGCACATGCTACATGTCACTTTACTTTTCAAATTCATTTTACTGATTTGTCCAAAGGAGAGGGGGGGCATGGTGCACAGCGAGCCCTCAGCCGCTGCTCTGCTATGGGAGCCTGGAACAGTCCTATAGTCTTCCAGGGCCTCAGGCCCCTCCCCCCTCAGTGAGAAGCTCTGACCAGATGGTCTAAGGTCCTTTCCTTAGCTTTCAACAGACCTTCCAGTTATTGTTCAAGGTGGAAAAATAAACTAAGCCACCAGAGGTCCCCCTATCACTTAAGTATCCAGAACAACAAACTCAACGAATAAACAAGACAAAAAATTCCCCCTGATCCTGATAGTAAACATTTTTCTATTTGCTTTAGTAGGAAGCTCAAGGAAGGAGAAAGTTGGTTGAAAATCAATGCTCATAAAATCTCCTGCAAAATGGTATAAGGAAGAAAGTTTTCAATGCCAAATAATTCTTCATTTTTTAAAAAAGCCAAGTGACTATTTATAATGTACTTGATTTATAGGTCATAAAAGCACACACTGAAAACCCTGAAAAATAAATGGCTGCTACACGGTTAACCAAACATCATACTGCGAGCTGTGGGCCTGGTTTCTATGCGTGCAGGCAATATTTTCCATAAAATGATTTTTAATTACTCTCATATTGGCAAGGTATTTTATTTTTTGAGGAAATACATTCCAACTGGAGTATAAAATAACTAAAAGCCTGGGTTGGACCCTCTTGGGCCCTGAGGGCACCATGCCTCCTGAGAAGCAATTCAGTGGAAACTCTAATAAAGAGTCCCCTCTCCTAGGATAAAATCTGGCCCTCCAGACTACATTTCCATTTTGTACCAAGTCATTCAAGATTCATAGCGTCAACACACGCCCCTTATTTGGAGAGGAAGATTAGCCAAAAAGAGGAGAACTTGATTGCTACTACCTGGTATGGCCCTTAGTGCACAGTTAAATAAATACCCCAAGGACTGCAGGACCCCAACTTTCCCTTCCTCCTCCATCTTCTCTCATCATGCTCAGTACTCACATTGATGGCCCATGTGACACCTTATCACAGAGTCACTTCATCTAGCTACACTTTTCTCAATTCCACCTCAGCCATGGAAGCAAACGTGACCCTCACCTCTTCCTCGACCCTTCCTCAGTCAGCGTCCCCATCGGCCACGAGCACTGCTTCTCCCCTCATCTAGTCCCTCACAGACTGCAACAACGTCATGGTCACACCAGGACTATGCACCCCTTCTTACCCGCCCTCCTCTGGCAACATCTGCCTGGGTGTGGGAGACAGGCACTTCCTAGAGCCTCTCTGTCACCTGGACACTCTCACTTTTGCCCACCTACAGAGACCACCACAGACCCCTTGGATCCCACCCTCTCCCTCCTGTTAGAGACAGGGGAGGGAAGCTACAGGAAGTCACACCTGCTGCTGCTGCTGCCTCTCAGGTTGCAATCCCACCTTGACCTCACCCTCCCTGGCCAGCAGCAGGCCACTTCCGATTTCTGAAAGACGATGGTCTCTGGGAACTTCTATTCCCTTTGCTACTGCACCTGAGACGGCTCTCCCGCCCCCACACCCCCTTAACTGTACCACCCTTCCCAGGTGAGGACCAGACTAGGTGACACATTTCCCATAGTAACACCTCTAGATCATGCTTTTGGCCCCATAGTCCCCCACCTCCTCTTGGGCCTTAAACAGCACAAGATATTTACAGCTCCCACTAACCAGAGCCAGGCCTGAACATCAGTGCTCAGAAAACTCGTTTATTCAATGTGTCTTGACCACATCAAGCACATTCCTCTCTGCTAAATAAATGACGAGTGGGAACAGACAGACCGATGAGCGATGACACTCTGTTCAATCTTTTCTTTTTTCTTCTATTAGAAAAGAATTTAGAAGATCAATCTTAACACATGTGTGGTTCTAATTCTTCCTGTGATTTTTCTTTAAGTCTTCAAAGACAGAAAATGCAAAAGAAGGAAGATATTTATGAGTAATTCGATGCTTCTTCCCTCAAAGAAGAGAGAGATACATCCAGATGAGAAGGGAAATAAAAGCTAACAGGCACTGAACACTTGCCACACGCAGCACATAAGAAACCTTATTAAGTCCCCGTGACCCTACAGAACAGATACTACTGTAACCACGGTCCAGAGAGAACACAGGCTTAGGGAGGTTGAAGTAATTTTCTTGAGCACAAAACAGGTAGGCAGTTACAGAACTGGAACAGAACTGCCAGCTAATAAATACTCTATTTACAATGCTCCATTCTCTACTAGTATCCATACATTTTAACCAAGTCCAGAAGAAGTTAGCTTGGTTAGAACAGTATGTATTGGGGTGGGGAAGGTGGCGGGGAGCGTGTAGTTGTAAGATGGAAGTTGTCTAAAAGGTTTATTTTAGATTCAAAATTACAAACAATTCTTAGTGTATCTGGTTATTTTGATAAGTCTACAGCAACCCAATGACTCACCCAGATTTCTACTCCTGTAAGCTCTACTCAAGTGCCTCATAGAGATGTACCTTTTTAAGAAAATCTTTGATACTGTATTTTTATTGCACCTTTTCTGCGTTTAGATTTGCAAGTACTTAGCACTGTTAAACCACCCACTGTGTTCAGCACAGGAACATGAAACACAAGTCTGTGGTGAGCATGCACCAGCCAATATATTCCCCATCTCTCAGGAGTGTAGTAGGCTCCCATCTAGGTCTGTGCAAGTGTACTCTATGTTTGCAAGTGGACAAAACCGCCCAACAACACCTTCCTCAGAGTGTGCCCTCATTGTTGAGGGAGAGACACAACTGTTTTGACCTTCCTTATGTAACTGGCTCTTTGAAGACTAAAAAAGTGACATATAGGGCTGGGAATGTGGCTCAGTGATAGGATGCTTGCCTAGCATGCCCAAGGCCCTGGGTTCAGTCTCAGCACCATACCCTCACACAAAAATAAATAAAATAAACAGCTGGACACAGTGGCACATGCCTATAATCCCAGTGGCTCAGGAGGCTAAGGCAGAGGGATCTTGAGTTCAAAGCCAGACTCAGCAACAGCAAGGCACTAAGCAACTCAGTGAGACCCTGTCTCTAAATAAAATACAAAATTGGGCTGGGGATGGGGCTCAGTGGTTGAATGCCTTGAGTTTAATCCCTGGCACCACCCCCCCCCCAAAAAAAAAATAAAATAAAATAAATAGAAAAAAGAAAAAAGTGACTGATCTGTATAGGTGCTGACCATAACACTCATTATTAACTACAGTCCTTTCCTAAATCAGATATTCTTTTCAAATGAGAAAAGAATTCCTTTCTATTACTGAAGGCAATGAATTGCTCAGCAGGATTTTGGGCCTAATGCCAGCCACTATAAGCCCACTAAGAGCTTTGTAAAGGAATTTTACAAAGCCAAATATGTCTACATGCCGACAGATAAATCATTTTAATGCATCTGTAATACACTGAGTGGCTTCTAACATACTTTGAATGCATCCTGAGATACAGCCCATAAAGAAGTCAAGCTTGCATTCAGAAACTGGCTGGTGGCCCCATGGTCTGACTTACCACCAACCCTCTCTTGTCAAGTCCTCTAGGAGGCTCTTAATTTCTGCCATATTTTGCAATGCTTCTTGCTGGCTAACTTATTCCCAATGCCCTGATAAACTCTTGGCTTACAGGCACAGAGAACACATGTGGCCGTGAGGTGGCTGCTTGATGAGGTGATCACTTTTCCACTTTGCAATGTTACGATTCAAAGGGTAATTTTCAGTGAATCATTTCACAGTCGTCATTGCTCAAGGATGCCCAGAACAGTTCCACAGGGCATGAGGTTTGGAACTTACCTTTTTAATACCCAAGAGTCAATAAAATAATATCTTTTCCAAAAATAAATCTCTCTGTTGGTGAAGCAGAGAGGGATGGAGAAAAGGAGATAAGAAAATTCCCTGTCTATTATATTCACTAGATTTCAAACAAGTGAAGAGTTTGGTAATCATCATTCCTGACTAGAGACGTGTGAAACTAAAGGACATGTCGATATTCTGAGATGTCCTGTGACTCACAAAATTAAGAGTGTCTAGAAGAGCTCTTTAATAATCCTCTCAAAGTTCACTGTACAAGCCACAAACTTAAGACTATCTTCTCGAGTGATACACCTTGAATTAGGTTTATCTAGTATTCAAGAAGTTCTAAGTGTGTGTCTAAAACAATAACAAGGATTTCGGTCACTTTTAAAGTAAAAGAGAAAAGAGGGGAGCACTCCCAACCACCAAGACACTGAAACGGGAACAAAAAGAACAGAGACCTCAAACCAACCTCTATGTGGGAGGCTCAAGTTCTGCCTCCACAGACGTGCTGGAAAAGATGGACCTCAGCGGCAAGGCCCAGCTGCTCACAGCCTGAGCCAGGGCGTGGACAGACTCAGGGACTGAGGGCTGCTTAGATACACTTTTTAGTTATATCTGAACAGTGGGGAATTTAAATATTCAGATAACATAAAGTAATTGGAGTTGTCGGGTGAAAGGCAGCATTGTAAAAATAATTACATAATAATTAAAAGAAGATGACTAAAGTGAAGTCCCTAAACTCCCACCCTCTCACCCCACACCACAATTCAAATACATCAAATCCCCACTGAGTCAACTGTTTTCAACCAGCTGAAAGCCATTTTGTTCCTGAAGTTACAGAACAAAGGGTATATTCTTTTCTTTGGCCAGAAGATATTATCTAAACAGGTCTCAGAAGCAGCTGGAGAATGCAAATATTGTCATTTTAAAAAGAAAGAAAGAAAGTCATGACACAGAAAGGAAATGTGGTAATAGCAGTCAGGGCAAAAATGAGGAATTTACATACCTCTGTTGTAATGTAGTTTGACCGCTGACACTTGTGCAGAACAAAGGGGTACAGTTCTTGTGCACTTCCACATCTGTTGCTAGGTCTTGTTTTAGCTGGAGAGCGGTCAATTTGAAGGAAAGAACAGAGGTGTGTGTGTAGGTGTGTGTGTGTGTGTGAGAGAGAGAGAGTGACATCTTTCACATTTGCAGAGAAGACAGCATGGCTGTTTTAACTATGGGCTTTATTGTTTATTTAGAAAAGGAGAACTGGACTAGACTACCTGAGCAGCTATTGCAAAAGAAAGATCTGTGCTCAGGGTATCTAGGAATTGTATGATCTGGGGATTCCTGAAATATACTCTATGAAACATTGGTTTCAGATGATATCCAGAGAAAAATGGCTTCTGCGGTCCAATATTTCAAAGGCCCTAAAAAGTACTGAGAAAAGAGACCTAATCCATTTTGTTTACCCTGGTACTTCCTAAAGGGCACGGATTAGTTGTTGTTTTCTCCTAGAAACATCCAAGAGCTGGTACTATGTTTTTTTTGTCATGCTGAGATGCTGAGCTGGTTTTAAAACAAATGGTGTGAAATAAAACTAACAGTTTCAAGGAAGGCAAGCAACATGCAAATCTCAAGGAACATTTCACTGAAGTTAAACTCATTCTGAAATATAATTTGCTCTCCTATATCATCTGGAATTACTGACAACTTCTAAATGGCTGAGTGGCTAAACCAGCCAACAAAGCAAAACAGACCTGTTATGAATTAAATTCCACAGACCCGCATCCAGAGCTCTGTACTACATATGCAAATTGAAGGTTTTCATTCTGTTAATACAGGAACGCAATTAGAAACAAGGCAAGTGTTTTCAGACCCAATATTCTAACCCTCTTTAGCAGTTGCCTGAGGGTATCACTTGGTACCTAAAACCAACCTCCAGAGTCTTAAAGATCTGGCCAGAATTTTCCAAATGTTCTCCTTACTCTGTAGCTCCCCATCTGCCACTGAAACTCACACCAAGAGACCAGACCGCCACCTCCCAGCAGGACTGCCTTAGGCTCCCCATGTGGAATGACACTGTAAGGGGGAGCTTCTGCCTTCTTAGCTCTCCCCCTGATTTTCACAGACCTCCTCTTCCAGGACTTGTGGGCTCCACCAGCTACTGTGGGCTCCCCCTCTCCTTTTGTCAGGGAGCAGAAGCACAAGGTTCAGCCTGGTAGAGGTCAGCACTGAAGGCATAAGAGATGTGATCAGGGGACGCAAATCTGTCCAGCCAGGGTTGTTACATCTTAGAAGTTTCCAGAAGTTAGATTAGAGGTGTTTCCCTAACAGGATTCCACGGGTTCGGTTTGACAGTATGGATTTATATGATTAAACTAGGGGTGCTTTACTACTGAGCTTCTTTCTCCACTTTTTTTTTTTTTTTTTTTTTGAAGCAGGGCCTGGCTAAGTTGCTGAGGCTGGCCTCAAACTTGCAATGCTCCTACCTCAGTTTCCTGAGTTGCTGAGATTATAGGAGTGCACCACCATGCCCAGAAAGACAGAGCTTATTTTAAAGGTGGTAAAACTTCACATCTGGTCTCTCCAGACCAGAAATTCAAAATTAAAGGAAAAGCCAAATCTCAAGTTCCAAGGTTATATTTTGAATGACTTACCTCGATTTCCACCTTTGTGAAGGGCTGGCAGAAAGTCAGCACACAAAGCTGGATGCTGAAAAGTAAAAAAGAGAGGGCTATATCTTTATGTGGTAATACAAGTAGCATCTAATGTTACTCCACAGACTTTCTCTACACAAGAACGCCACCACAGAACACTTAATTCACATGTAAATATATATATACATACACACACACACACATTTATGTTTATATACATATATTTACTATAATGCTATAAGTGCATATAAATGCTACACCACAGGTCAAATACTTCTTGGACTGAGACAACCATTTTAAAGTTAAAATACCAAATGCCATACCAAATATGCATTTGTGAGTCAGAACCACAGCTCAGCAGTGTAAACCCCCAATTTGAAGTTTCCTTGACAACAACGACTCAAAGGCCTAAGCTGCTGGAGAAGCTATCCAAAGGCACATTTTTAGGGAAGCTCCTGAGTATAGCACTGTTTCTTGAAAGTGGTTAGCTACCTCTTCAAAGACAATTTTTGGAACCCCTGGGAAAGATTTCTGTGGGATTTTTTTTTAATTTAGCCTCATTAGTCAGCTGATCCAGAAATCAGGCAGAGTGGATTAGACTATATGTTTAACAAAACGACCAATCAACCCTTTTCTGCTAGAAAGGAATTTAAATACTGTTTATTTGTAAAAATTACTTTAAGAGACATACTTGAGGAAGTGATGGGTCAAACAAGAACTTCAGTTAAAACAAGAAATTTCGGAAGTAAATTAACCACTTCCATTAAATATGTTATCATTTTGGGACAGGGTCTCAAAATGTGGCATCTGGAAAACACAAAATTGTGCTTTTTAAAGATTTTGTTTGTTTATAAGTCCTAAGAAATCCCTGATTCTTCAAGTATCTTTTTTCAGTTTCCTGAATTCACTCTCTTGTTTTCTTTTTTCCTTTATCACATCTTCCCAGGTTAGAAGACTAGAATAAGCCACTTTATTTTCTATCCCATTCCCTCTCCAGAAAGCAATTTATTTGATTAATGTCAGCTTGAACTGTTATGTAACCCACACCCCCCAAAAAAACCATACTGACCACACCATGAACCCAGAGTCACTATCTCTATAGGGAACTAAATTTGGAAAGGCCCGAAAGATGACACACATCAGGAAGTATAAATATGTACCCACCCGATTTTTAGGAACATCTATTTCTAAAATGTTCGTGACGCTACTTATTTCTCCTAATTCTCTCTTGTATAAAAGCTAAGAACCAGCTACTCAAAATCATGGTGGCATGAAGTCTAATAATAAACAGATTTCTTACAAAGTAGAGGATAATGTACTGTCTACACATCCCTTACGGAAGCATAACAGGACCGTAATTGTTTCACATGTGCGAAGGGTTATTCCACTGACCCATTCGTCACCCATTCTCATTAAAATGTATTATTTCAAAGAATCTGGCAGAGTCCTTGAAGGCAAATGATGATTTCCTTTTAAATATTTCCAAGTGGTCATCACCTATCAGACTTTACAAGGGGAACTAAACAAAAGATCTTGAAGCAAAGTGCGGTTCTACAGGTTCTGTTCTTTTTCAAGGCCCATTTTTAGCTTGGTTAATAGTGAAACTGTTGCTGTCCTCACTCAAGTGCTTAGAGAAACTGCTGATCCCTGCACTTTCAAAATCCAAGAACAGAACTGAAATCCCAGTGAGCTGGTTTCTCAACTTACATCAAACACATCCCAGCTATTGCAGGACGTGCAACTAATGTGATCTAAACTGCTTAAAACAGGGTGGTAAAGTCTCGATGCAGACCCTAGAGGATGCTCAATCTGCAATGGAAGTGAAAGTGCAAAACTCAAGCTAAATATGATGGAAACTGGTCACTGCAATGCTCCTTACAAGTCAGAAGACAAAAACTTGAGGAAACAGAAAAATAAGAAAATAAAAACCTTGAGGCCCATTTGAACACTGGCTAGAATTCTCCACATGGGAGATACCAGGGGTTACTGGGTAAAGTCATGATGCTCTCTGCAGACATCAGGTACTTAAGATTCTGGTTCAAATCTTTATTTTTTGTTTTAAAGAAGAAATAAATGATCTTTTATTTTCTTCCCTGAAGTAAAATGTATTTAAGCTAATCACAGACAGAGATGACTTACAATGTATATCCTTGCCATGTCCAGGTCACAGTATCCTACAATGACAAAAGTATTCAAGTAGTTATTTCAGAAGGAAAATATCGAATAAAACAAAGACCTTATCTTTTTTTTATAATGAACATTTTTATGTAATTTTTAAAAATTTATATATGACAGCAGAATGCATTACACTTCTTATTATACATATAGAGCACAATTTTTCATATTTCTGGTTGAAAGACTTCATTTTTTTTAAAAAAAATTAGTTATAGATGTCACAATACCTTTATTTATTTACTTACTTATTTTATGTGGTGCTGAGGGTTGAACCCTCACACATATGAGGAAAGTGCTCTACCACTGAGCTACAACCCCAGCCCCAAAGACCTCATTTTAATATTGGGATTCATGTATACTTTTCCTGAAATTAAAAATAATGCATTGAAAAATGAAACAAGCACATTATTATTAAAAGTGGTGAACGGACCTATGAAATCTTAGAATATGTCTCTACATAGCAAAATACCCATCTTCCTATGTCACTATGGATCTTTTTGTGGAAAAAATTATTCTGAATTTTTACAAAAACTAGTACACATGCTTAGCTATTTTCTCCTAATATGAACATATCTAGAAAATTAATTTTCTTACAATAAACAGAATACAGTTTATTTACAATAAACAGTTGAAAAAAAAAAAAAGGAAGGGGTTATTTGGGAGAAAAGATTAAAGTAATGCATATTGAAAGAATTTGAGTATACAGAAAAAAAATCAACCTATAAACAGAGGTGCAACGAGCAAAAATTTGATGGTTCTAATTTTGTTTTTTTATTTTAATTTCATTTTTCCAAGGTTGAGAAAACAGCCACTGAATAGAAAGATGGATTGATGGAGAACTGTTAATCTTTTTTAATATTCTTTTTGTAACTGACTCTTTTTAGTTATACACAACATTAGGATTCATTTTGACATAATTATAAAAGTATGGAATATAATTTGCTCTAATTCAGTCCCCAGTATTTTCCCTTTCCCTCTCCTCCTCCTTCCCCTGTTCCCTTCCCTCTACTAATCTTTCTGCTTTTTACCTTTAGGGTTTTTTTCCAGTGTCTTTGTGGATAGACATGATGGTGAGACTCACTGTGGTATATTCACATATGCACACGGGAAGGTTGGGTCAGATTCACTCCACTCTTGTTCCCTTGCCCCGTCCTTTCTCCTGCCTCCTCAATCCCTGTCATCTACTCCACTGATCTTTCTTCTATTTTGATGGTATCCCCTATTTCCCTTTCTTTCTCCTTCCCCCACTACCCCCTGCCATCTTGGACTACCTCTCACATATGAGAGAACATTTGACCTTTGAGTATCTGAATCTGGCTTACTCCACCTAGCATGACCGTCCCCAGTTCCATCCATTCACCAGCAAATGCCCTAATTTCATTCTTTCTTAAGGCTGAGTTACACATTTTCTTTATCCATCCATCCATTAAAATGCAGCTATGGCTCCATAGCTTGCTGTTGTGAACTGTGCTGCTATAAATTTTGATGAGGCTGTACCCTATAGTATGCTGATTTTAGGTCTTTTGGACATACCAAGGAGTGGGATAGCTAGGTCATATGGTGATTCCATTCTCAGTTTTTTGAGAAATCTCATATTGCTTTCCAGAGTGACTGTACTAATTTGCAGTTCCACCAATAATATATGAGTGTACCTTCCCCCCACATTCTTGCCAATACATTATTATTTGTATTCTTGATAACTGCCATTCTGAATGGAGTGAGGTGGAATCACAATGCAGTTTTGATTTGTATTGTGAATATTTTTTCATATATTTGTTGGAAAATTGTATTTCTTCTTTTGACACATGTCTGTTTAGTTCTTTTTTAAATTTATTCATTTTTTAAATTTTGGGGGAGGCAGTACCGGGGATTGAACTCAGGGGCACTTGACCACCAAGCCATATCCCCAGCCCTATTTTGTATTTTTTATTTAGAGACAGGGTCTCACTGAGTTGCTTAGCACCTCACTTTTGGTTAGGCTGGCTTTGAACTTGAGATCCTGCCTCAGCCTTCTGAGCCTCTGGGATTATAGGTGTGCACCACTGAGCCCAGCATGTGTTTAGTTCTTTGGCCAGTTTACTAATTGCGTTATTTATTTGTTTGTATTTTTGGTGTTAAGTTTTTGGAGAATTCTCAATCTTAAATAGTGTAGATAACTAACAGTTATCTCCTGCTTTTTATATAAATTCTCTAGCAAACAAAGTCCTTTCAGAACCAAAGCATTCCCCCCCAAAGTCTTTGGGAAACAGTGGCACGATCTACATCCGGAGAACAACAACATACCCAGCTGTGTGGAAAACAGCATTTCCTGAGCTAACTCTGGACTTTGAACAGGGTGTTAAGTGCTTTCATATATTTCCTTATTTCATCAAGCTACCAGCCAAGGGTCACACAGCTCATAAGTACTGAGCCAGTAATTAAAGATCAAGCTTCTCTCAAATTTATCCTGCTGTATCAACCCTTCTCCATCAGTAATGACCTCTAAATCAGGAAAAGTCTCCTTCTAGGCTTAATTAAAATTACAAAGTTCTACTATCCTGTCCAGTGAGACCCTACATCTGGGATTTAATCAGACAGTTACAACAGAGGCTAAGAAATGTCTTCCTGAAGCTTCATAATAATAAAACGATATTTAATATTGGTATCAACAATGTGCCTATCTTGAAAACCAGCCACGGCAAGCAGAATGAACTTGCTGATTCCTTCACCATTCATCTATTCTTTTCCTTATTCACACAGGAAAAGGGGTCTGAGAGCAGGAGGTTGCTTGGAATATTTAAATTGCTCCCACAGAAGAACACTGTGCTTACCAGCTTGTTGGGGTATCTGAGGAGGATGGGCTGCACGGGGACTCCCGGAATGAAGGCTCCTGGAACCACATTGAAATTTTGTCATACGGTTTTCATATGAATAAAAATTTTACAATAAGAAAAAAATCAATTATAAATGCTGTAAGTACGCTGATGGCTTACAAGTACAGATCACAGAATCTATTGCATGTGTTGGCAAATGCCTAGTGTTTACTAAAATGAGGAATTTTTAAAATTATGAATCAGTCAAGCAAATATTTAATCCTGTGCTGAAGGCATTTACATATTTCGTTCCTTATTTGTGTGCATTTCCCAAATACCTATTATTCAACAAGATTTGTTTACAAAGCAGTAATGACAAAATCAAGATGAAGAGAAATAAGAATATCTAGATAAAGATAAAGACAACTCCTTGAAGTGAAAACTACCACAGTTGCCAGAAGTGAGCTATCACTTCGGGGATGTACATTCGAGCAGCCAAACAAAACCTTTAAAAAAGGGTCAAGAGTTATGCTCAGGACCACCTGCCCAGTATTCAAAAGGGAGTGAATCACGGAGGGCATTTGAAAAGCCATAATAAAACAGGGACTCCACTTCACATCAGAGGACCCTGGGGATATGCAAGTGTTCCTTGGAGGAAAAGAAAATTATCTACAGTTTGTGTGTGTAGATACACATACATACACATACACACACACACACACACACACACACACACACACCCTATAAGAAAGAAGAGGCTATGATACCAAAAGAGAAAGTGAAGGAGTTAAGTTCTGTGGAATCACATAAAAAACTTTTTATCAGAAAAAAAGGAAATGCTCAGAGCAATCTAAAGCATTACTTTGTGTACTGCTATCTATAATCATTTGAGAAATCTTCCACACTACTTTGTTATAATACATAAATTAATTTATCTCACCTGGTTTAAAAGTAATCAAACAGGAACGATTAGTACAAGTACCTTCTGGGAAAACTAGTATCTTGGGAGAAAAGGAATAGATTTAATATTTCAGTCTAATGAATAGATTACCTCTTATTCGCTTTCTTATGACTTCACAAACAGCTGCGAATGCTTCAAAAACAAAAATGAAATAAAAAGCTAACTCTTGATTCTACTGAAAGCTCAAACCAGATTATTCAATTTTCTTCTAAGAGAAATACAGTTTAGCCATTTAGGTTCTTAGAAAATGAATTTAAGCTTTGAATGGAGAATATGCTTAATTTACAAACATACTACATTTTTCTGAATGATGGTTTTTACCAATGATCTGAATAAATTTAAAAGAAATACAGAGGCTGTAAGTCTTGGTCAAAGTATACACTAGGCAAAGCATATTAAATTCCCTCCTTGCAGCTACACATCCTTACCCAAATAACCACCTACTTTGTCTCAGTTTTCCCATTAAATGATGTTCACTCCCACAACAGAGTTCACAGAGGTCTTGAGGACAAAGGAGAAAATTGCTTCATGCTGACCTGACTTAGCCGATGGATGGAATACAACGTATTATCTATTTTTTGAGGATATGTTTTAGCTTTTAATGTATCTCTTTATGTTTTCCATGTGGAGAACAAGAAGTATGATTAGTTCCTCCATTAACCCGACTAGATGGCATCTTGGTTTCCTGAAGCTTTTAAAATTTAGTTATGAGCCAAGTGCTAAGAACATCAAATAAAAGTAAAATTCTTGCACTCAACGCAGTTAGTAATATGTATTTTATAACAGAGAGGGAAAAGATTATTGAGTTAAATTGCTATAATTACAGGTTATTTCTAAAATAAAAATTATTATACATGCAGTGTGATTCCATCCTCCAAACTAAAAAATGGGTTTCCTATGAAAGATATAATGTTGTATTCAGTGGAAATTCTACAACTCCATAACTAACAAGGAGCAGCCATGGAATGAACCATAAAACCTCAGAGCTGGAAGGGGCATTAGGTCACCCAGCAACAGTAATGTTGGAATGTTTTCTACAATAACCCCACCCGCCCACTCCTGCCCTGGAATAGCGGTTGCTCAGCCAATGCCAGAAAATTCTAGAGATCCCAAAGCAAGACTATTCTTCCTCTGGACAGAAAGAAAGTTCTTCCTCAAAACAACCAAAATGAGGTGAAATCTACCTTTCACCTCCCACCTACTTATTGCAGATATACTTTTTGATCCAAAGAGAAAAATCAAACCCTAATTACAAATGCTATTCTTCTCAATCACTGTTTAAATTGTTCCTCAGAAGCCTTGGTTTCTAAAGCCTCCTGGTCAGCCACACTCCTTTGGTACTTTAACATTTGCATGACCTCTGCAGGACCATCAGTGTGCTAGAGGTCATCTGTTGTCATCTGGACAAAGATCAAGGGACATTACCATGCAATAAATACTGCCCTCCCTAATCCTCAGCCAGCACTGTGAGGAAGGGCTGCAGAGACAGTGAGGCTGACCAAGCCTTATGGGTGATTTTGAGACACCCTCTGAACTGAGAAGCACCACCTAAATATACTTCAGAAAAGATGAAAGAGCTGGCGGGGCGCAGTGGTGCACACCTGTAATCCCAGTGGCTCTGGAGGCTGAGGCAGGAGAATCACGAGTTCAAAGCCAGCCTCAGTAAAAGTGAGGCACTCAGCAACTCAGTGAGACCCTGTCTCTAAATAAAATACAAAACAGGGCTGGGAATGTGGCTCAGTGGTTGAGTGCCCCTGAATTCAATTCCTAGTACCCCAAAAAAGAAAAGATGAAAGATCTGCACCATTTTTTCAGTGAACCCAACATACTGTTGAATATAATGGGGCTTTGGAATTTCATACACTAAATTATACGATATAGTCATATTAATTCATGGGGATTAAATTCAGAGATAGAAAAATCACGTTTTATGATGGGGAAGTAAAAATTGGCTGAAGAGTCTGGCAGATAACAAGGATAACACAGTGAAGTCCATGAAGGAGCTCACGCAGAGGCGGACTTCTGATTACTCACTAGTTCATTCACTCTGCATCCATCGTGCTGAAGACACCTGGTGTAGGTGTCCACAGATGTTAGCACCTGTGGATCCACACAAGAAAGTCTACAGATGGGGAGTCAACTCAATATGACTGCCTTTTACCTGGGGCCATTCCCCTCCGGAGGTCGCTCGCTTTATTATTTCATTTATTGTGTTCTTTCGGGAATCCGGATCCACACGGGACACCAACACTGGCTGCACGGCCCGTAAGAGACCTTTAAGATGAAGAAAAAATCCAACCAAGCATTTTTTTGACTAAAGCCAGCATAGCAATAGTATAGGATAAAACATAAGACAAATTTTATGGAAAACTAAAATGATAGCAAAGAAAAAACTAAAAAATACTGCAAAGTTTATTAGAACTTAGTTTCTAATTTCAAAAAGAGAGGTGGACAGTTATATCTAAAAAGATCTCATGGGCTGGGGTTGTGGCTCAGTGGCAGAGCACTTGCCTAGCAGGTGTGAGGCACTGGGTTCAATTCTCAGCACCCCATAAAAATAAATAAATAAAATAAAGGTATTCTGCCCATCTACAACTACAAAAATTTTTTTTTTTTTTTTTACAGATTTCATTAATGTAACAGAAGTATGTGGAGAGCAGATAATATGAAAAGAGGCAAATACAATTTTTCTCCCCAATGGTCTTCTGCCTCGACAGACATTAAACCTTTGGAATATTCAAGATTGTCGTGTTGAATTTTAGGAATATTTTAAAAAATGATTATCTAAATTTACAGTGCACATAAGTAGAAGGCAACTTTACACATTTTACTGAAATTTTCAAAAAGTCAAGTGTTCTTGACAGCTTCCAACCACACGCAAAATAAGCCTCCATTTAGCAAAAGCTTATTGCTACACACTTTCCAGGAAGATAAAAACACATTACATAAAGCACGGTGGTTACAGTCAAGAAACAAAGTGCCTGGGCTGAAGGACACAGCTTCTAGGACTGCTACCACTTCTGCAGAGCACAGGGGCCACCTTCACCCCCTCTCCCTTGTCACCTGAGAGAGAATCCTGGACAACTGGGAGCTGTGACTTGGAGACTGATTCCTTAGGGAGGGACCAAAGTATCTGATGGGAAAAACACTTCACTTGCTTCATTATTTCTTACGGCAGGAAGCGCTGACTGTTCCTCACCATGATTTTCAGAGGTACCTCAAGGAGACTCCCAGGGTAACCAGGAAGAAAACAAGAGTTTGGAGAAAAGACTCCGTACGCCTATCAGCCTAACACCCTGAACAGAAATTCATGAAAAAGCACGTAAACTGTGCATTGGTTCAATTCTCTCTAAAAATAAATAATTAAATAAATAAAACAAAACAAAAAACAAGAATCAGCATGTCCAGTATTTGAACACTGGTCTTCCCCAGCCATAAATAAGAACAAGACAGGATGATATGATAATAAAAATAGGTATTAAAAAGAATGATGAGGCTATAGATTAATAAAGTCTAGCCTTTTTTCATAAATTCATTCTTTCCATATAGGACCTAATTATAAGAAGAAATATGTTGAAATATTTTAAATTTTTTTTAAATTTATCAAAAAACTCCCAATATGATTATTTTAATTTCAAGCATAAGCATGAAAATATTTCATCTGTTACCTTTCAAGTACTTACTGCCAATCATAGGGATCTGGACAGTTTCATACCGAGACACCAACGAAGGCAGTCCAGACACAATACAGGCAATCCCATCAAAGAAGGACGAATGAGGGGCGACAACAAAAATGGGTGCTTCCAAAGCGCTCGCAGCCTTTCCTTTCACACTCACTTTAAATCCCATGGAAAAGTAGAGGGCGTAACCCAGATATCTCAAAACCAAGTGAGTAACTGTCCTTTGAAAATAAATGCAGAAAAGACATAATTAGCTTTGCTGATCGAAGTTAAGCAGCATGGCTTCACTCTAAAATACAAGAAAAAAAAAAACGTGTCAAAGAATTGCATTTTAAAATATAAGCTCGGGAGATGAATAGCTAACACTTACAGGGAACTGCTTACTGTAGGTGCCAGTCACTATTCTTGGCCTAATCTATTGAAAAGTAGGTATTATTTGTTACTATCCCAATTTTACAGGTGACAATAGTGAGGCATGGAGAAGTAATTTTCCCCAGGATATGTAGCTATTAAATGTCTCCATTACTCTGTGACTATAAAGTGATAAAAATGAATTTTAGCTGGGTGAGGCAACACAGAACTGTAATCCCAGCGTCTTGGGAGGCTGAGGCAGGAGGAACATAAGTTGGAGGTTAGCCTCAGAAACTTAACTAGACCCTAAGAAACTTCATGAGATCCTGTCTCAAAATTTAAAAAAAAATTTAAAAACTGAGGAAGTATCTCAGTGGTAAAGTATACCTGGGTTTAATCCCTACTACAAAAAAAATAAATAAAATTTATTTTTAATTAACACATGTTCCCCACTGAGATAACCAAATCAGTACTGTCCTTCAAAAGTAGCCAACTTAGGAATCTCTATTTGTGTCATGAAAATGCTGCTATCTCCTCAACACTTTTAGACCCTTCACCTGAATTTGTCCTCAGAATTACTTTAGGAATAATTTTTAGAAGCAAATCTCATCTGCATTGCTTAGCCCTTTGACATCATCACGAATCTTCAGAAGTAGGGCTTGGGGACATAGCTCATGACAGACTGCTTGCTGAAGTGCCTGAAGGCCCTGGCTTTGCTCCCCAGCAACCCCCATGCTTCAGGAAATAAATTTGTATCTTGAAAACAACTTCAGAAATGAATTTACCATCTTACTTCCATGGACCAGAGAAGCACCTAAGGGATTCCAGAAATCTAGTTGTTTACTTTTTTAAAAGATTCTGCCACAGGAGACTAATTCATTCATTAAAATCCTGCCTGGGCCCATGGTGGACACCCAAGACAGGTAAAAGAAATCTCTGACTTGATAAGCTTGCCGGAGGAGGAAACCCAAGCAGATTACCAGGAGCACAAACACAGACTGGAGATTTTCATAAATGAAATAAGCATACAGCTTTTCATGATAAGTAAAATAAAATATGCACAGTTGTCCCTTGGTATCCATGGGCAACCCTTGTGGATAAAAAGTCTTCAAATGCTCATGCCTTTTAAATAATATGGTATATAATGATACCTGCGTATAACCTTGATTTTAAATTGCCTCAGCCTATTTATAAGATCTAATTCATGTAATTGCTACGTAAATAGGTAGTAAACTGCATTGTATAGGGAATAATAGCAAGCAAAAGAGTCTGCACTTGTTCAGTACAGATGTATATTTCCGATATCTTTGATCCACAGTTGGTTGAATCTGCAGATGTGGAGGGGTGACTGCATACTGCTCGCAAGGTATCTAAGGAGAGCAATCAAAAATGGGCTTCTGACCTACGTCTACTTTCTGGTAATAATACAGAGGAATTATCAGCAGCTAGCCTCTGGGGAAGTCTGTGACTTTTATTTCTTAGCAAAAAGTGAGACACAGAAAACCAAAGTACTTTTCCAAAGAGCTCCGGAAATAACACAGCTCTCCTCTTCCCCTTTAGTTTGGACAGGAAATCTCTATTCATAATGGGTATGAAGTGCACCCCTTCACCAACTTTCAAACATTTCCAAGTATCCCCTATTCAGAGCCATTAGACACTGACATTTAAATGTTTTAAACATTAAAGTTTGAGGCCACAGACTTTGAGGGGAGTTAGTGATAACTATTTTCACAGAGAAAGGTAAAACTTTATTTTCTACTATTTATTATATTTATTTTTTGGATTCTGAAGGCTACTTCTCCCATCCTCCTAGGCTTACATAAGAATAGAAACAATAGAAACCAAAAAGATAATCTGAAAAAAATTGGAGAATCATGAAAAACGTCCCTTGAAGTGTTGTCTTGAGTTATGACACAGAGCATCATGATCTGCCAGCATGGGGTTCATCTCCACTTCAAACCAGCCTCATGTTTGATATTGACATTAGTTCGCTAGAACATGCACTGAACAGAAAACTGCACATCCTTAAAAGTTTCTAGAACAGTATTTCTCAAAATTTTTGGAGGATGTATCCACATTTGAGATTTGGATTAAGGAACATATCCTTGTGTGATGGGGAAGGAAAATCGGTACAAAATTTCAAGAGAGTTCGCTAGTGTCCTAAAACAGATCTATGGATTTGGAATCCACATCAGGAAGCCCCATGTTGATGACACACAGGTGGCGACCATTTGGCTCTGCCCAACCCGAATGAACGTTCATCAGCAGCTTCATTCATTAGGATTAGTCTGTTCTTGATGCCAACCTAACTGTGGCAGAAAGGAAGTCTAACATAAAATGTTAACATTTGGAAGAGTTAGACTGCATTAATGATTAATCTGTATTAATGATAATCACTAAAGAAATTAAGGAAAAATAATATAATTGATACACTTATATGTCCCTGTAGAAATCATTTTGTTACTGTGGGGAGACCAAAGCAATTGTGAAAATAGGAAAAGCAAAATATAGCAAACGGTTTTACAGTTGCAATATTTGCAGGTATACTGGTGCTGGGGTTGTAGCTCAGGTGGTAGAGTGCTCGCCTGCACATGTAAGGCACTGGGTTTGATCCTCAGCACTGTATAAAAATTAAAAATAAAGAAATATATGCAGGTATACTGATGGACTATCAGAAACGGGGATCTCTCTCTCTCTCTCTCTTTGTACCAGGGATTGAGCTCAGGAGCGCTCAACCACTGAGCCACATCATCCCCAGTACCACCCCGGCCCTTTTTTTCCCATTTTATTTAGAGACAGGATTTCATTAAGTAGCTTAGGGCCTTTGTAAATTGCTGAGGCTAGCTTTAAACTTGCAATCCTCCTGCCTCAGCCTCCCAAACCACTGGGATTACAGCATGTGTCACTAGGATTATCATTTTGGCAATAATTCAGAAAACAAAGTCTTTTAACATAAGAAAATCATAACGTCAACAGATGATTAACAGAAATGTGTTTGGGCAGTAATTTCTACATAAATTAAGGTCCGTTTTATCAAAGAAATGAATTATTAAATTTGGGTAAGTTAAATAAAAATACTCATCAGTGATTTTTTGTCATCTGGATCTACCTGATATCTGGACAACGTGTTTCTTACCGTCTCCAGTCGGTCAATGGGTAAGTCGGCTTCTCGGGACAGCAAGCTATGAAGGCGGCGGCAAATGGCCAAGATAATAAGAAAAGCAATCCAATCAAAATGACCCGAAGTGGGAGCAGGATGATTCCAAGAAGGAAAGCCTGAAAGTCAAAGTGGATAAAAACAGATCGAATGACGTCATTTTAACATGTTGCTATGGAGCTGAAACACGCAATAGGAAAGCTTAATGCTATTCATGCATCTACCCACAGATGATCTGGGTACTGTGCTGCCCACATTAGAATGTAAACAGAGAAGAACAAGCCATGACATTTGACCTCACAAAGCCAATCACATACTGAAGAAATAGTGATGAAAACCTGAAGAGAGCTTGATCTGTACACTGACCAGAGTGAATGGAGAGGCTGAGGGGACAGAGAAAGGGGTGTCTGATTTGGCAGTCAGAGAAAGCTTCCTGGAGGAGGTGCTGAATGGTCTTGCAAGACAAGCAAGTACTAGCAAGATAAGAGGGAGAAAGTGTTATTTGACAGCTACAGGTTGAAGGAAGAATGTGAATGGAGGCACCAGAGTACGAGAAAGTGAGTGTGCTATTGAATATGCCTGCCGGCCCTAACAATAAGGAGATGGAGGAGGAGAAAATAAAAGAAAAAATAAGTGATGTAAATAAGAACAGCAAATCATACATGAATGCTTCCTACAGGCTCAGGCTGTAAACACTGGCACATAGTAATTCATTTAACTGCAATCTGATGTCAAAGACAGAAGTGGTACAGAGGGTTAAATTAAATTACTTAATAAGATCATATAGTTAGTAAATGGCAGAACCAGGATCTGAACCCAGTTTGGTGGCCTTTGCTTATACCACACTGCCTTTCAAGTGAAATAAATTCTCCTTAGGTATAATGCACTGTCTTTTTTTCACATAAAAAATTACACTATCTAACAGTGCCTCTTTCTATCTCTACTAGCTCTTATGTCATCAAATAACTTATAAAAAATGCAAAAAGTATTCTAGTTACCTAATCTCTGCCAAGTTATTTGAGTGCATGTGTATGTCTGGTTCAAACATACATAAAAGAAAAAGGTCAGGTCTTCACTGTGTAATTCAGTGACCTTGATCTTGATCGGCATGTACTCATGTAATTGCCACCCAAGTCAACACATGGAACATACCTACCACTCTAGAAAGCCAGCTTGTGCCTCTTCCAGTCCCTGCCTATGCTCTTGGGCAACAGAGGATGAATTTCTGTCACCACTGCTTAGAGGGATGTGTTCTTGAATGTCACACAAATGGAATCATGTGACGTAACCTTATATGGCATGCTCCCTCCACTTAACATATTTCTTGGTTCAAATGTGTTGTTTTGCATAACAGTAATTCATTCTTTTGGACTGCAGAGTATTATCCCACTGTATAACCCTTTGATGATCTGTTCACTGATAAAGCCACTGTGAACACTCTGAAACACGCCTTTCTATAAATATATGTCTTCAGTTTTCTAGGAGTGGAATTGCTCAGCCATAGATGTTAATTAACGTTATAAGGAACTAACAGTTTTCCAAAGTAGTTGTATCATTTTAAAGTATCACTGGCAGTATGTGAGAATTACATTGCTGTATATCCTGGCCAATCATTGTTGTTGGTAGTTTTTTGAAAAATCAACTTGTTAAGGGACAATTTACATAAAATAAAAGGCATCTCTTTTAAACTCTATATGAGTTTTATCAAGAGCATAGACCTATGAGTATGAATGAATACAATCTATTCATTCATCTATCCTTCTGTCGACACCCAACTGTCTAATTAGTGTTATTTTGAAATAAATCTTGAAATCAGGTTGTATGTGACATACAACTTTTTCTGCTTCAACATTTTCTGGGGAGTAAGGTATTCTAGATCCTTTACACTTCCACATAAATTTCAGAATTAATTTATCAGCTTGCCAGACACAATCAAATCTGTTAGGATTTTTATTGGGATTTCAATAAATCTATAGACAAATCTGGAAGGAACTGTCCTCTTAATAACATTGGTTCTGACAGTTCATAAACATGATTTATTTTTCCACTTACATGAGTCTTCATTAATTTCTAACAGCGATATTTTGTTGTTTTCAGTGTAGTAGTCTTACAAGGTCTTGGTTAAAAGCATTAAGTATGTAAGGTCATTTTATTCTTATTATTGTTATTGTTATTATACATGCGATTATTTAATTTCATTTTACAACTGTATCCTCGTGGGGTATAGATATAAAATTGATTTTAAGTTCTGATCTTATTTCCTATGACCTAGCCAACTTGATTTATTAGTTCTAGTGGTTAGTTGTTTTGTAGATTCCTTAGAAAGTTCTTTATACACAACCATGTGCTCATCTCTGAATAAAGACAGGTGTACACTTTTCTTTCTGGTCTATGCTTTCTTTACTTTTTCTTGTCTTATTGCACTGACTAGCACCCCTAGTTCAGTGCTGAATAGAAATGGTGAACAAGATAATTGCCTTGTTCCCAACCTTTGGGGAAACCATTATATTAATAGGAAGTACTTCATAAATATCCTGTATCAAGTTAAAAGTTTCCTTTTATTCCTCCTTTATTGAGAACATTTTTTTATTATCATCAGTGGGTGTTGAATTTTATCAAGTGAGCAACAAAATTTCTGTATCTGAGAAGATCATAGATTTTTACTATATATTCTGCTAACAAGGTAAATTACACTGAAATTGAAATTTTGGTATGTTAAATTAACCTTGGATTACTGAGACAAATCAAACTTGGAATATATGTGATATTTTATACTTCCCAAATATTGTTGTATTTGACCTGATGACATTTTGTTAAGAGATCTTATATCTAAAACCATGAGAGATATTGGTCTATAATTTTCTTTTCTTGTAATATCTTTTTCAGATTTTGGTATTGAGGTGATGCTAACCACATAAAACTTGTTGGGAAGTATTCCACCCTTCTCTACTTTCTGAAAGAACTTGTGTAAGTGTTTTATTGTGCTCTTAAAAGTCTGACAAAATTTATAAAGTGAAATAATCTTGGCAAGGAGTTTTCTTTAAATGTGTGTGTGCAATTCAAATTCTTTCATAAAGATCTAGTCATATTTTCTAGTTCTTCTATTCATTTTGTTGTACTGGATGGATTCTTGTCCTTTCCTACATGTTTCAAGTTTTGATAATAATCTCTTAATAGTCATTTAATCTGTAACGAAATATGTTTTTTTCATTCCTGATATTGGTAATTTGTATTTTCTCATTTATCAGTCTTGGTGGGGATATAACAATTTTCTTAACTTATTCTATTTTATTAGTATACCAACCAAATGTTTGAATTAGTTGACTTTCTTTGTGGTTTGCTTTCAATTTCATCTCTTGTATTCATGTTCTTGCTTTGAGTTACTTCTTGTGTAATTTATCATCCTTCTAGCTTCTGGAAGTGAGAACTTAAAATCATTACTTTTAAAACTGCTATTTAAGTATTTAAATCTGTTCATTTACCTCTATACATTGCTTTCCCTGAATCCCATAATTTTGGTATTTTGGATTTTCATTTTCTATTTAGTTTAAAACATTTTAAAATTTTCACTGGTGATTTCTTTTTTGACCCAGGAACTCTTTTAAAGTGTTCAGTTCGATGTCTAAATATGTGGGCAGCTGTAATGTTAAACAAGTGCCTCTGATCGTTTTTCAAAACACACTGAGAAAAGGCTGTGCTGGATGAGCCCCACTGCAGGTCCAAAGAAGCCTTGCAAATGTAGTCATGCAGGCAGCCACCAGCCAGGGCAGATGATGACATTTCTCTGGGAATGGTTCTCTGATGGAGTCCCAACCTTATTCTTTTCCCTGTAACCACCACAGGGAAGGCATGGTTAGCATGTGTGATCAGCTTCTTTATCCTTCTAGTTTTTCCTTCCTTCCAGAATCCCTGAAGGCTCTTGTGCAAATACAGTTTAGGGATCTGCTGAGAATGTAGCAGGAATTTACATGCCAATTAAGGGGCTCCTTCCTCTCTAGCTTCCTCCTTTCTGGTACTTCCTTCCTCAATTTCTAGTCGCTCTGACTGCCATGAACTCTGTTCTCTGTCCTCTTGCACAAAAGACCAATAAGACTGAAGCTTTCTACCAATCCCTCCCATGGTATCAAGAGAGAACCCTGGGGAAAAAAGAGGGGACACAGGGAAATTTCACACAGTATAGGAACAAATCTCCTCCAGTTTCTGTCTTTTTTTTTTTTTCTCCAGAGTACCTTCATATAGTTTCTTATAGGACTAATCATTGTAATCTATGAGAAGATTTGTCCAGTTTAAGCTACTAGTACTCCACCATCCCTGGGACCAGAACTGACCCTGCTAAATTTCTTCACCTGAAAAACTGACTTATGAATACAGTAAAACTTAGCTATCATTCTATTTTCTGTAAGATAAATTATGAATAAACAAAACATGGAGGAGCTCCAGAACTATTACTAGGAGAGATCTTGTTTGGCCTTTATTGCACTAACACATGGAATTATATATTTTGTACTTGTTTTTTAACTTTCTCAGTGAAACGTAAGCGTTAGATGAGCAGGCCCTATTTCTGTAGCTCACTGCTCTATCCTCAGATATTAGCACTACACCTAGTAGAGGCATTCAACAAATATTTTTGGTCTAAATGAATGGCCCCCAAATTACAACCAAAAGCTCATTTCAATTCTGCTCTCAATTGAGGACATAAAAAGGAAGCTACTTTTTTTCCATGCCACAAAATAACAAACTCTTAAGTAGTCAAAAAATGGACCAGGGATGAAATTAAGCCCTATAATGAGTTCCAAAAGTGACAACAGTTCTTAAGTAAGACACTAGTCATCATTCATTGTCTGATTTGAATCTGACTAAATCCTCTTAAGTATTAATTTGTCATTCTTGAATGAAAGTATGTCCATCCTTTAAAATAAATAATACAGACAATACTGTTCTCAGCCATTACTCTTTACTGGCTAAGGATGTGGCTCAGGGGTTAAGTGTCTCCGGGTTCAATCTCCCACACCAAAAAAATAAAATAAAATAAAAATAAAATTTTTTTTTTTCATCTTTACCCAGAACATTCAAGCCATTCCAACATCTTTGGTATCATTCATCAAGAGAGATTTAAAAAATTTAATGATCAGACCATGTTCAACTCATTCAATCTAAGCGAATTTTAATAATATATATAATTTATAGACAACTAATAGCATAATGATCAATATTAATATCAGCATACACTATCTCACTTAATTCTAACCTTCCTTTGAGGTTTATTATTTCAATTTAATAGATGAATAGTTCAGGGAGATTAAGTGACTTGGCCAAGTCACACTGCTAATATTAATGCCTAAGTCTTCTAAGACTAGTGCCTCTCCAATCCACCACAGCTCTTATAAGAGTCCTTTCAAAGCCATTCTAAACAGTCACAGACCAGGTGATTAAAAACAGACAACAACAACAACAACACACACCAAAATTAGTAATCTACTGTAGGTGCAATACAAATATTTATAAGTACGCCACATTGAACCTTGTTCCAAAATACGAAGCCAATAGGTGAACATACTTTCCATTTACACATGACTGATCTGACTAAATTTAATCGTGAATGGTCAAAGTATTTAGAAGTGCTGCAATCATGTCAAGCTACCAAGGGAACATCTGTCCATTTAAAGACACAGATCAACTTTCAAACTAGTTTCTTTACAAGGAGGTATTACCATGACCCTTCCTTTCTCTTCCTTTCTCATACTCTTTTCAACCAGACATCTACCTCCCATTATCCTACCATCCCATACTGCTTAGCTCAGCACTAAACCTGCCCTCACAGGACAGCACAATAGTCTCAGCTGTGCATACAAAAAGAATTCAAAATTACACTCCTTCAATCCAAAATAATGAAATCTGTGAGACAGACAGGGAAAGAAAATAAAAATTAAAAAATTATTCCCCTGCAGGACACACAGGACAAGTATATCTTGTAGAGTCTATCTTATTCTTCAATCAATAATTTCATCAGGAGGAAGTCCAAAAAGCGAGACTGCGTAAAAGCAGTCCTTTATCAGATAAGGGAAGGAAAGCAAATTTCCTTTGTGGGAACAGCTACTTTTAACAGTGGCTCCCCCTCATCCTGGAATCTAGGAAAAATGTTTGGGTGAAAGCTGATGGAAGATGGGAAACCCTCAAACGCCCTAAACGGATACGTCTAATAAGTCACCCCTCTTTCTTGATTCTGAATTTCTAGCCAGGATGTCCCAGCTCAGCTAGATCATTCCAGCCTTACCTGTTCTAACTCCCAGCCTTCTCCCTCCTTACTCATCCCAAGGCAAAAGGAAAAAAAAAAAACAACCCTTCCCCAAGCCCACTCTCCCGAGGTAGGTCTGCCTCCACCACCTCCCGGGACTCACGTCCAATCCAGCCGGATCGCCCAGCTCGGGAAAGGTGGGTCTCCGCCCGCACAGCCTCTTGGCCTCCAGAGGCTCCTCTCAGACCTGCCTCCTCCGCACCTGCGCTTCTCCCGCCCGCAGCGTCCTCCACCCCCAGACCCGCGGCCCTCGGACGCCCCCGGGGGGCTGCCCCCTTTCCCGCAGGCCGCCCCCCTCGGTCACCCGGGCCCCGCCGCTCACCTGCAGCAGCCTGGCCGTGCCGAGCCCCGTCTGCTGCACGAAGGGGTTGGGCACCGGCGGCGGGATGAAGGACGCCTGGCGAGGCACCATGGGCGGCCGATGCTCTGCGGCCCCGACGCCCGAGCCTGGCACGGTGGCCGCCACCGCCGCCGCCTCGGAGCACCGGTTCATGGCCGAGCTGGGCGTGGGACCCGAGCGCAGAGAAGGAAGCCGAGCGCGCAGGCCAGCGCCCCAGCCCAGACCCAGCCACAGCCCCTCAGGAGTCCCAGCCCGAGGCGCCGCTCCAGGCCCTCTGCGCACGCGCCAAAATTACCTAGGCGCCGGCTGCCCCGCCCCTGGGCTGTGGCCCCGCCTCCCTTAGGTACCTGGCTCCTCCTCCTCAGTAATCTAGCCCCGCCCCCTCGGAGATGACTGCTTTCTTTCAGCAAGATGACGGTGAAGGGTAGCTTTGTAAACTTAATGCTCCAACCAGGGACGACACTTTAGGCGGAGTTCTCTGCTTTAGGGTCAGGCAAATCTGGGGTTTCACTTTGTCTTACTGTTCTGGCCATGAGCTGTGTTCATGATCCTCACTGCCTCCTGTAAATCCAACAAGGCTAGGAGCAACACCTTCCCCTGGGCTGTTCCCACAAGTGAATTGAAATCACTAGGGTGCTTTGCTCTTGTGTAAACCAGTTTGAGTTCCAAGTTTGTAGGCTAATATAGACATTCGTACCAGGGATGGAAAATGCTCCTCATAAATCTTATGGGATGACTGGGGAATGGTTCCCCAGAGGATGTAACGGAGCTGCTACTAGAAAAGGCAAAAACAAGTTGACTTCCACAGTAGATGAGGAACCTGACTGAGAAAAAGGGAACGATTTGGGCCTGGCTCCATTTCGACCTGAGGAAGTACAGGGGCCTGTCTGGGCCTTGATGGGTGAGGGCCTGGGGACACAGGGGTTGTTCCAGGACCTGAGACCAATGGATTGATCTCCGAGCGCCTAGAGTGAAAGAATGAAGATGGCTCTTCTGGGTCTCTTATTTTTCCAAATAAATTTCATGATTGGTTTTTCTATTTCTATGAAGAATGTCATTGGCATTTTAATAGAAATTGCATTAAATATGTATAATGCTTTTGGGAGTAGGGCCACTTTGACAATATTAATTCTGCCTATCCAGGAACATGGGAGATCTTTTCACCTTCTGAGGTTTTCTTCAATTTCTTTCTTTAGGGTTCTGTAGTTTTCATTGTAGAGGTCTTTCACCTCTTTTATTAGATTGATTCCCAGGTATTTTATTTTATTTGAGGCTATTGTGGATTCGGGTAGTTTTTCTGATATCTCTTTCAGTGGATTCATTACTAATATATAGGAATGCATTTGATTTATAGCTGTTGATTTTATATCCTGCTCTTTCTTTGCTGAATTCACTTATTAGTTCTAGAAGTTTTCTGGTGGAATTTTTTGGGTCTTCTAGATATTGAATCATGTCATCAGCAAATAGTGATAGTTTGAGTTCTTCTTTACCTATTTGTATTCCTTTAATTTCTTTCTTCTGTCTAAATGCTCTGGCTAGAGTTTCAAGGGTGATGTTGAATAGAAGTGGTGAAAAAGGACATCCTTGCCTTGTTCCAGTTTTTAGAGGGAATGCTTTCAATTTTTCTCTATTTAGAATGATGCTGGCCTTGGGGTTAGCATAAATAGCTTTTACAATGTTGAGGTCTGTTCCTACTACCCCTAGTTTTTCTAGTGTTTTAAACATGAAAGTGTACTGTATTTTGTTAAACGCTTTTTCTGCATCTATTGAGATGAAGATATGATTCTTGTTTTTACATCTATTAATATGATGAATTACATTTATTGATTTCCATATGTTGAACCTACCCTGCATCCCTGCGATGAATCCCACTTGATCATGGTGCACTATCTTTTTGATATGTTTTTGTATTTGATTTGCCAGAATTTTATTGAGATTTTTTGCATCTATGTTCATCAGGAATACTGGTCTGCAGTTTTCTTTCCTTGATGTGTCTTTGTCTGGTTTTGGTATCAGAGTGATATTAGCCTCATAGAATAAGTTGGAAGGGTTCCCTCCTTTTCTATTTTATGGAATACTTTGAGGTGTACTGGTGTTAATTCTTCTTCGAAAGTCTTATAGAACTTGGATGAGAGCTATAGAAACAAAAACAGCATGGTATTGGCACCAAAATGAACTTATAGACAAATGGGACAGAATAGGGTACACAGAGAATAACCCACATAGATACGGTTATCTCATACTAGACAAAGGTGCCAAAAACATTCACTGGAGAAAAGATAGTCTCGTCAACAAATGGTGCTGGCAAAACTGGAAATTCATATGTAGCAAAATGAAATTAAACCTCTCTCTCTCACCCTGCACAAAAATCAACTCAAAGTAGATCAAAGACTTATGTACTAGAACAGAGACCCTGTGCCTAATAGAAGAAAAAACAGGCCCAAATCTTCACCATGTAGGTGAAGTTAGGATCTAACTTCCTTAACAAGACCCCTAAAACACAAGAAGTAAAATCAAGGATTAATAAATGGGATGGATTCAAACGAAAAAGCTTCTTCTCAGCAAAGCAAGCAAACAATAATGTGAGAAGAGGGCCTACAGATTAGGAGAAAATCTTTACCACATGCACCTCTGATAAAGCATTAATCACTAGGATATATAAAGAACCAAAAAAAACTTAACACCAAAAAAATAAATATCCCAATCAATAAATAGGCTAAGGAATTGAACTGACACTTCACAGAAGAAATACAATCAGTTGACAAATATAATAAGAAAAAGGTTCAACATGTCTGGCAATTAGAACAATGCAAATCAAAACTACACTAAAATTTCATCTCAATCCAGTCAGAATGGCAATCATCAAGAATATAGGCAACAATAAATGTTGGCAAGGACATGGGGGAAAAGGCACACTCATACATTGCTGATGGGGCTGCAATTTGGTGCAACCCCTATGGAAAGCAGTATGGAGATTCCTCAGAAAACTTGGAATGGAACCACCATTTGACCCAGCTATTCCATGCCTCGGCTTATACCCAAAGGACTTAAAATCAGCATACTACAGTAATGCATCCACGTCAATGTTTATAGCAGCTCAATTCACAATAGCCAAACATTGGAACCAACCTAGTGTCTTTCAATAGATGAATGGATAAAGAAAATGTGATATATATATTCAGTGGAATATTACTCAGCTTTAGAGGAGAATGGAATTATGGCATTTGCCAGTAAATGGATGGAGTTGGAGACTATCATGCTAAGTGAAATAAGCCAATCCCAAAAAACCAAAGGCCGAATGTTTTCTCCAATATGCAGATGCTAATACACAACAAGGGGGACGGGGCACTAGAGAAGAATAGAGTTACCTTAGATTAGGTAGAGGGAAGTGAAGGGAGGGGAGGGGAGAGGATGTGGGGATAGGAAAGGTAGTAGAATGAAACAGACATTATTACTGTATGTAATTATGTGACTACATGACCAATGTGATTCCACTACATGTACACTCAGAAAAATGAGAAATTATATCCCATCTATGTATGATATATCAAAGTGCATAAATGCATTCTACTGTCATGTATAACTAATTAAGACAAATTAAAAAAAAAACACACTTATCCTTACTGATAAACTCTGCTTGCAGCAGGCCGGGAACCAGGAAAAAAATCAATCTGGGCATTGGTATAGCTCCTCCTCTAAATGTATCCACCTCTGAATCTCAGAATCATCTAACCCTATCAGAGAGCTGTGCAGCCTTGAGTTAGTCACTTAACCTCTCTGAGCTCCTTGCCTCATCAAAGGGATTAATTCCTGCCCCCATAGGATTATAGTAAGGATTAAATCAGGTGTAATGTACATAGAAAACCACTCAAGAAATGGCATGTTGAGGATCAGCTGAAATTTCTCTCAGTGTAACAGAGATCCTGATTAGCAGTGTATGAGAGCTATGATGTAAGCTTCCCAGGCTAGGTGGTCTTCAAGTAGGACTTCCTAATACCTTCAATGGCAGCATATGCTGGGGCTCTTTAGTCAGATACCTGCAGAAAGTGTGTCTGTTCGGGGCGATCAAGAACACAAATCAGTAGGCAGGCTTTGATAAAAGAAAAGATCACTTTCGGTCCACTGAGGTCACCCCTGAGCTGTCCTGAGCGCTGCTCACCTGTTTCCCCACCAGCCCCACCAGGAAAGGCCTGGAGGCATCAGACTATCAGACGACAGCTGGAGCTGGCAGGCACCTCTGAAAAGAATCCAGGTCTTGAGCTGCTGTTTGGCAGCAGCTGGGGGACTTCTATGGAGGAGAGCAGGGGCGGGTAGCCTGGCCAGAAGGCCGAGTGAGCTCACCTGGTTCTGATCACAGCATCTGTGTTCAGAAAGCAAGCACGTCACTGTCCTGCAGGGTGACCGGGGAAGGTCTTGTGGGGTAGGTGGAGGGCCATGTTGCTGTTGGAGATTCTGGGCTGAGGGTCGAGTTCCTCCTCTAGGTCATCCTCTGGCCTAGCCTCTGTTCTGTTACCTAACACTACAGGACCCTGGGCAGACCACTTGTCTCTGGCCCTGGTTTCAACTAGTTAAAATAGTCTCTCCCTCTTGAGGTGGTTGCAAAGGTTAAATTAAATGATGCATGTAGAGTACCTGGCACGCAGCAGGTTGCTAATGAAGCAGGGTGACATGGTTGCTGCTCACTGTCAGCGCCAGCATTAGGACAGGTATCACTATTAAGAAACAGACCTAGAGAGAAAACCGAGCCCGGAGCCTCAGGTATCATTCAGCCTGCAGCTGGGTGGAGCGCTTTGCGCATGCGCATCAGAGACCCCCCAGCCCCGCCCACCCTGAGGTGGGCTCCCGCGGTTTCTTTTGGCAGCTCTGATGTCTTCGGCACGCACCATCCCTACCCCTCCCGGGGCACACTGGCTCTTTTTCTGTTTCCTCTTCTGGCTTGGGCTGCAGCCCCCTCTGGGGGCTGAGAAAGCAGACGGCGACACGGCCACTCAGTTGGTGTCTTTATTTATACTGGTCACCACTTCCCTTGGGGAACTGTTGAAAAGGGAGGCAGAGGGGCGGAGCGGGAAGCCGCGGCTGGGTCGGCCTCCATCCAGTGGAGGCTGCGGGTGGGGAGGGCGTCCTAAATGGAGTGATCGGGCCAGCAGCGCTGGGTGGGCTGGCATGTGTCACTCAGTGACTTCAGACCACCTGAGCCCTTGTGTCCGGGAATGAATGCCATAAGGTGGAAA